TGTGCACAATTCACGAAGCAAAACCTCGTTTTCGACATTTCGGTGTTCCGCTCACTGTGTACGCAATGGGATCGCTACCCGCTCTTGCAGCCAGCCGTCCTGTTAGATAGCTCCGCCAAGACACGGCGGCGCCACCATCTTGTCTCACACCTCCTATGGCAGCTTGTTCTCTGCCATTTGTTTTTTGTGACACTGTGTTTTGAGGTTACGTACACAACCCGAGGTTTTGAAAGAAATTTGCGGGATTTCTGTTTGACACTAAAAAACAAAAATAAAATCAATAGAAACGAAAACACATACAGTAACTTGCGGTTAGGAATGTGCAGGGACTGTCTGGTGAAAAGTGGATAGGTCATGAAAACTACCATGACCCTTACTTTCAGCTATTGTTAATGGTCTCATTGAAGGTACTCACTGATGCAAATTTTCCCATTAGATTGTGAAATATCTCTATTTCATATGTACTAATTCATTTCAGTACCCACCAAGGCATGAACCGTATTATACTCTTTGATCACTGAATATGGTATGTGACGATAAAGCAAGCTAGAACAATACCTTAAAAAGTGACCTTTCAGCATCACTGAGGCTCCGTGCACCAGGCCCGAAAGTGTCCGACAGGGGGAAAAGCACTGGCCAGCTGGGCAGTGCAGTGCTTGAGGCATCTCTGCCACAGGGAGCAATGTTCGGGCTGACATGCACCATAAACCCGTGTGGCGTGAGTGGTTGCTGGTAGGAGATGGGGCTGCCCTCGGGGACTTGTCCAAACATCGACGCTGTGATCAGTACCTGCACAGTCCGCAGGTGTTTGGCAAAAGGGGAGTCCCCGAGGTTGCCGAGGTCATTTCCCAGGCGATGCATGGCCTGCTGCATGCCTGCCAGGTCTCTTGGTCGTTTTCTGGCGTCGTACAGCCTTGACCCCTGTGCTTTTGAAGGTCCTCCTTCCCGTGCACTTCTCCAATCCAGTTCCGCGACGCTGGCAGCACAGATTTGCGAACCACGGGGCCGACGCCACTGCTGCGGCAGCTCCGTGCACGTCACCTCGGGAGGTGCTTCCGTGTACCCCTGCCCCTTAAGGAGCACGATTAGCCTCAGAAGGGCTAAGGCGTGGTTACAAAGGCCTTCTTTTGCGGCGCACTGGCAGCTGCACTCCGAAATAGAGCCGTCCGCAGCGATCGTTGTCGACACGCTGTACGGCTTACCGGTCTTCCTTTGGCTTCGGTAGCACCGCCCGCGCACAACGACGGCGGTCGCATTCCTGCGTACGCAATATGCGGGCGTTAAAAGAGAATAACCATAGGCTACTTAACGACCAGCGATCGCTAATGTGGAATCGTCAACTCACCCATTAAGACATGTCGTTTCCAGCGACGATGGCTCAAGGTAACTTTCCGTTACGAACTTGTAACTACGCCGCCGGTTACGGTCGCTCGTTTTCCGGGCGGCGTAGTACTCGTTAACCTTGTCGGTTTTGAAGTCCTGCGAGATCTTGCTTAAACTCTTAGTCCATACGAGGCTGGTAGCAGCAGCACTAGGACCAGCGACTACAACGGACGCCATATCAATGGCCGCTCCCCCCCAAACCAGCGTTGCCTGTCGTACTTCACAAGACCGCCAAAACAGGCGTCTCACAGTTGCCGGAAACAATTTCGGGAAGGGTCTATTTTCGTGAGTTCGATATTGACAATATTTCGCTGTACGTGGGTTCGCTCTAAACGGGTGTATAGTGTAGTGATTACGATTTCCCAATCCTCTTTGCACTTTTTTGATGTACAGGATGAGTGAAAGGGATCGATAACTGTTCGAATGGCCTGCATAAATCGGTTCCCGAAGGTATCGTGCGAAGATTTTATGTGGAAGTGGCCGAAGAATGTGCATCAAGTGTATAAGAATTTCACCGAACAAACTTACCCAAGTAAGAAGTTGGGAATGAAATAACTTGAAATCTCCACCTACGACGATTGTCTGCCAATTAAAGGTGCTGATCTGCCGCAACAACCAACGGATGGCGGCTTGTAAGATCGCAGGCGGCCACGACGGACGCTTCCCGCGACCTTGGCAATAGCAGACAATGTTTCTGAGCCAGAAGCGACAAGCTTTTTTTCTGCACGAATTGTCAGTGCACGATTATTCGATTCTTCCAATGAAACATAAAAAATTAAGGTAAAATGAAAACAACAAAACAAATGTGTTACCAGTCTTTTTTTTACGGTTGTTTTTCGTTAATATCATCTGCTTTGCACAAGCTGGTTGTCACCACGTCTCTTTTCTTCGCTGCAACTTTGGTTTGTGCTGTTTCGGGGTGCAAGTGGTCTTCATAGTGCGCTTAGCTCTCAAGGAGCTAGTGAAGGTTGATCTCTGGTACGGGGAGGGCCAGAGGACGAAAGAGCTCCGCTGTGAATGTTTTTGGGCGGAGTTTTGGCGGTGACCTCCAGGCTGCCCTACAATTCTACGCTGGGTGAGGTGTCTCAACGAGGAGGTAAACATCCAAAACGAGCCACCTACAAAAGCGATTGCCGAAGATGACACCGAAAAATATGCACTACTCGGTGCCTTCATTGCCGACTGACCCACCTGCCGACGCGGAGACTACTGCTGACATCTGTTGACTGTTGCGCCAATCGAGCACCTTTGATTAGCACGTGGGCGCCATAGGTAGGGACTTCAAGTTTTTCATTTCAAACTTTTTACTTTGATAAGTTCAGTGAAAGTTTTATGCACTTAATGCACATTGGCCAGCCACATCTGTGCAAGATTTAAGCTTGATACGTTGAGAAACAAACTTTTTTTGTCTCTTCAGTCATCAATCCTTTTGACTTGCCCTGTGTTTGTGCCTTTATTTAGGGAACGAAATGGGATGGCACCTGCAGAAATTGCAAAATTTTGCCATAATTACAAAAAAAAAAATTCATATTTATTAGTAGCGTATTTTCTCGCATAACGAACACACTTTTTTCTCTGAAAAATGAACACATATTTGGGGGCTGCATTCATTACGCGGGGTAAAATTTTTGCACTTACACACTTCGTGCAAATGTCATATTAGGTGACAATATGACACGGCAAGGTACTGTGGCACTTCTCCACTGCTGGAGGCGCACCCACGGCTGGTCGGGGCTGCACCACAGTAACCATGCTTTATAAATTGTGAACCTTTACAGGGTGCTTTGGGCATACCTTTTGCCGAAAGAAAAGCGCCCTACGAAGCTCGCTCAGCACGGGGAGCGACGCGACCGTTTTTAGGCCCAACCGCTTTCATGATTTCACTGTCCGAAAGCGGACCACAGACGATGGTGTCTTTGTTGACATGCATCTGATAGGCAAAGAATATTCGGGGCTGGGCAATTCCTCGACCCAAGCTTCGTCAAGTGTGCGCGCTGCTCGGTTTCACGGTTGATCACTTCTGCAATTACGAACCTGCAGCCATTATGAGAGCGGCTTGGCTTGGCTTCACATTGCCTGACCGCTTGGCGGCAAAAGAAAATTGGCTTGGTGGCTCGCTAAGTTGGACGCAATTCAAGACTCGCATAGCCGGAAATTGGAGGTACGTTCATTACTCGAGGGAAAAATAAAATTTCAAATATTGGTACCCGTTGTGGGAAGTTCATTCATTATGCGAGTAAATACGGTAAGTCCCAGACTGCCGGACTTTGCTGCTGCGGCTGCCTTCCAGAACAGGCACCTGGCAATGCTGCAAAGGCGGTCGGTTGCAGCCTCTCCATCGTCATCTGTTCTGCACTACTTATCTGGGAAACAGCTTTTCCGCATTGACAAGCCGTCGTGGCATGCCATGTACACACTGCTAGCAACAACATACCGACATAGAATCTAAGATGGCCGCTTCTTAGTGTAGGGTGGTGATTTGGGCCTGTTGGTAACAGTTAAACGTCATAAAAAACACCCTCAGATAAACAGGGACGAAGAACGGGTAAAGGATACGACAGGACAACGGCTGAATCGCAACTGAAGTTTATTGAAAGAAAAGTGAACCAAAAAAACTTGTTAAACAGATTACACACATAGAGATTAAAAACACACGCCCACCAGGCGACCAGAAGTGCGGATACATGGCCTCAAAACTTCACACTCATGTTCGATTGCAGATACAGTACCTGCCTCTCAGACAACGCCACCAATGGCTGACTGACACATCTGTCTGCCATCGAAGAGATAATGAACCCTTCAATTATCTCTCGAGTCATTTTTTCCCGGTGTCTGCCCACAACAGTTACGTCAGCAAAAGAGGGGAGACAAGAGCAATCTCTGCAATGTAGCACTAGAAGTCCCCCTACCGTTGCTTTGAGGGAGTATCTGTGCTCTCTTACCAAAGAAAAGTGAACCAAAGAAACTTCAAGTTTCTTTGGTTCACTTTTCTTTCAATAAACTTCAGTTGCGAGTCAGCGGTTGTCCTGTCGTGTTCTTTACCCGTTCTTCGTCCCTGTTTATCTGAGGCTGTTTTTCCTCATATTTACCTTCTCAGTGCTTGGTGTTTCCCACTGATCGCTTCCTACGATTTTATCCGAAAAATCTAACTTTCGGACATGAAGCTATCCGAAACATTGGTCATGAATATGCGCCATTTCTATCGGGTAGGTCACGGTTCCTCCGTTAGGTCCTTAATATCGAATCAGTTCGAAGTATCAGCGTTGTAAAAATCTGTCAATGGCTGCCCGTGTAATTTTTTTTTTCCACCTTACTTTTATGGAGTTCAGATACGACGAAGACACAGATATAGTGAATTGATTTCCGATTCCTGTTGACTCGGTTATAACCTGTCTCAACGGCGCATCAATCTAAAAGTAACGTGTATATAAACATATTGCTAAGATATCCGTATCTGCCATTTAAAAGCTAATATATGCTATCACGTTGGTTGGGTGCCTCTGCATGCATAATCGAAGTGGGCACGTGTGCTTTGCTGGTTATGAATTGAAGAAGGGAAGTGCATAGGGATTGCTGGCGGCAGTTTCTGGGAACCTCTCGGATTGCACCCTCTGCAGTGGACCAAGGGAGCTCTGGAGGCGGTCTTTGGCGACCTCCTGGACCTGATGGACGGAGGAGTTCTCGGGGAACGTGAGGTCTGGGAGAGCCTGGTATGCCGCGAGTCGGCGCTGCTGCCCCGGGCGTTTGCCGACTGCGAGAATGAGCGCCACGGACGCTTGCGGTCGGATGCCGGGGGCCACACCCTGGCGGTGTGCGAGGACACCGGTCGGCTCGACGTCCGGGAAGCCTTCCTCAAGTCCCTCGTCTCCGGGGAACATTTTGTGGACTCCGTCCTGGTACGTCCTTGCTCTTCAAACTGCCCTTAAAATTTGCTCATAAAGTTGATAATCCCCTCAACCGTTTTGGGCAAGTATACCGTATTTGCACGAATATAACGAAAAGGCAGGTTTTGATGCCTTCAAAAAAAAAAAAAAAAAAAAAAATTACTATTATAACGCGAGTGGAGGCCACGTAAATTTACCGCACTCGAGAATATAGCAGAAGTGAAAAGGCAATGGAAATAGAGGAAATATCAGATTGTTTTGACTGTATACTCATCCTCTCTGCTCAGGTCCCTATGTTTGCAATTCACTTAACGACTTCCCAGATATGCAGCAGCACGGCCCGTTTGTCTGTTCCTTTTTTTTTTACGAGTGAGTTCCTAGGTAGCCCACAAGCAAAGTGAGGCAAAAAGCAGAAGCTCCCACACACAAACACCAGACCACTTTGGAGCAGAAACTAAAAAAATGCGCAGGTAGAAAAGACTGCTGGACCCCATACACAATCACACTCATTCTTGTTCTGGTCCTTCCACACGAACAAACGATTCGTGTTGAACGATTGCGTAAGAACGGTTAGTGGTCTTGGCTTGGCTCGTGTTGACATGACTTGGCCTGGCCTGGCTTGGCTTGGCTTGAATTGGCTAGTGTCCGCATTCCCATCTGACGGGCTGCGTTTCTGCAGCATCCTTTTCAGCGGTGCGTTGTACAAACACATAACCAATAAAAATGCTTTTTATGTCTTCTATTCTCCCCTTCACGTGGCCCAATAGCTAATAAATTCCCTCCCACACCCCCACTTCTTTTCCCACCCAATATCCCACATTAAGCCGGAGGGATGGCTTTCTCCAGACTCGCGCGCCTCGTGGCTGAACTCGATTCCGAATATAGCGCGAGGTGTGTTTCGGAGCACCTAATTTTGAAAAAAGACTCGTTATATTCGTGCAAATACGGTTGCTCGTCTGTTTTTCTTGGTTCATGCACTCGACCTTCTTAGACGAACCAGACTCGCTCATGACTTAGTTTGAGGTTTTGCCAACAAACAGCAGTGCTGAATTGTTAAAAAATATTGCTTCCATTTTGTTTGTGGCTATACACTTTATTTATAAAGCAACAAATGTAATTTTGATGACAACAAGTAGGCAGTTGAGGATCAGAAATATCCCAAAATTAAAAACTGTCGAGGGGGGCCCATTTGTCCCCTTAAAGCGCAACTCCGCTTCATTTTTGATATTTAGAAAACTATGTAGCCCTCTTCAGTATCATATAGGAAGACACCATGTCAGATATTACGATCTAATTCCGATTATATATTTAATAAACTGGCCAGCAAACCTTCAAGCGAGCCAAGTCGCCGAAATCTACCAACTCTAGCGTGCGGCGCGAGGCGCAATCGTCAGCGCAGTCAATGCGACGAAGTTGGAGCGGTCAACGTTGAGCCACTACGTCAGAGGCATGATACGTCATTCTCACGTTTTTGCTTGTTTTTACTTCTCAGAGCGAAATTGAACGATGACGTCATGAGTTTCTCCTCCCGGTGTTGGCTGACCGGGCGTTCACGTGATCACCGTAACACGGATGCGCTAGTTTGCGCTGCCCTGCGGTCTTATCGGCCTGTTTCTCCGCTCCCCTTTTCCTCTTTCGTCTTCTCCCCTTCCCCCTCTCCCCCGGGCCATCACCGTCCACGGCATGCAAAGCAACCTGCCCGCATCCAATAAAAAAAAAAAAAAAAAAAGACCTGCCCGCGTCGCGTGTCCTGTTTCTCGCTCCCTCCCGAACGTCACAGGACCACGTGGTTCAACGTGACGTGCCATGACTCTGACGACCCGAGACCAATGTTGCCTGACGCAACTGAAGTTTCGGTTTCGGTATCTGCTGATGTTTAAAACTAGGATTACACAAATAATATTCCACATTTCGCGAATCCGAAGACGTAGAGTTGTTTAGTAGTGCTTTGTGAAGTGGAATCACATGGAAGCCTAAATTTTTCGGAATTGAGCGGAGTTGCCCTTGAGCGGTGTTGCCCTTTAAAGGGCAACTCTGGCCAAAACTCAAAATGAAAAAAAAATTACTGGTATCGCTGTAGTGACACAAAATACCACCCCAGCCAAAATATTACGTCCGGGGGACGCCGCATTCTCAACTAATGCCGATAATAAAAATGCGACCCGCCGTGAGCCTCTGCTCCTTAGCGGGCGGCCAGCGGGTTGCCGATCGCTAAAGTAACATTGGGCCGTGACGTCAGTATCATTCTCTTTTTTTCTTCCGGTCTGGGCATTGCGCGAAGTGCGCTTCTTTGAGCCGCTACCATTGCTACTTCGGCTTGTGATTGGCGTGTTTAGCCGTTGCTTTTACCTGTAGCCCGTGTAGCTTCGGTATAGCCTTGTGTTTATTTGCTTGTGAGGACTCCAAGACTTGTTTTAGCGAGCCACTCGATGCGCCCAAGACTGCCCAGCTGTTCCTCGAAAGATGCCGAGCACAACTTGTAGCGCTGCTTACACAACCCGCAGCGCAACCCGGATGTGCTTTTTCATAAGTTTCGAACGGACCGCAAATTGTAGAAAGTGTGGGTGAACGCTGTTCGACGAGTGGACTTTGGACTTCGGCTTTTACGCGCCCGAGGAAAAAAGAACGAAAAAACAAATGTGTACAGCCTAGCACATGTGTGTTCGGGTGCCACGGCCCACGTGAAAGCGAGAGGGCCTCCAGTACTGTACGTCACTAGCAGCGCGGCGTAGAGCAACGCACCTCCATCCACGGAGCCCCGATGACAATTTAGGCCTAGCGACGAGTACGGAAGACCGTACGCGCGGCGACAGCCACTGAGTACGGCACTGAACGAGTTCACTCGTTTTTCAGTCGCTAGCTTCTGGGTATACAAGCGACGAGTATGGCATAGCGCATGCACGGCGGCGGCCGCCGTGTACGGCACCGAACGAGTTTATGGGTTTTCCAGTTGCTAGCTTTTGGGTATACTCACTAACTCTTGCTACATGTGCTGGATAACTATCACATATACAGAATTGAAATAAAATCAGCTTACCTCCTATCTTTAGACGGCTAGCGCAACAGGGGTAGGTGCCGCTCGGCCTGCGTACTCGTTGAACGAGAACGATCCTGACGTCACGTTCATATAGCAGCTGATTTCCAGTGTTGCCGGGGTCTCAAGCGGATAGTTTCGGTTTTGTTGGCAGCGCCCCAAACAAAACCTTGAGGCGTCATATCTTTAAAACTATGCACAATAACAAGAAAAAGATTACCCCTTGTAATTCAGGGACGCTTACTGCACCAAAAACTGTCATAATCCCAAAATCGAAAGTATGGACCGGAGTTGCCCTTTAAGTACATTGTACTTAAGGCAGGAGTTGGGTTTTGTGACTAACTTAGGTACCATAGCTAGGTTTATGAAATTTACATCAGCTTTCTACTTTGTTAAGAAGGCAAACTGTACAATGTTAGTTTTTCTGATCATTAGTTTGTAAGTTAGATTTTGCCTGTTGATGGTTTGTACAAGCCCCTCAAACCTAATAACACACTTCATCATTATAGAACTTCATGTATAATGCCCCAAGACATACCTCGAGGGGGTGAAACTACCAAATTATTTTTAGTTGCATGAAAAACTTTTTTTTATACAAAACGGTTTTGTGCTACTATGGGGCTTAATTTTCATTAAAGTTTTCTGCCGCTTTTGCAGAAACTGCAGGTCAGATATGGACAACCAAATAGTTTCACCCTCTTCATTTGTTATTTAGGAATGTAATACACCAAGCAGAAGTGAAATGGGATACAGTAGAATCTCGACGATACGAATCTCGTGGGATTGCGGAAAATATTCGTATAATCCGAAATTCGTGTGAACGAAAAACAAGTTGCATAAGTACATGAAAGCAAAGCGGGGGCTACTTGCCGTTTATTGGTCACACTCCCGGCCAAAGAAGTCAGTAATGTTCTTCTGAGTCTTCTTTTATTCAGTATCACCCAGGCGACAGTTTTAGAATGTGTAAAAACATTAAAAACTCCTTTGCCAAATCCTTGCGTTTTCTTTTAGGGTCCTCGTCCACTTTCCTCAGAACTTCCAGCTTCTCTTTGAAGGACAGCGATTTTCTTTTGTGCGACATGTTAAATCAAGTCGCGACTCACGCTGGACAGACGAGGCAGGATGAAGAATATCCTCCCGAAAGTTTGTTGATGCAAATCGCACAGAGTTCAATAGACGTGCACATGCGCTTGCAAACAAAGGATGCTTGCTCGTTGACGTTAAAGTCGTCAACGCCGATTTTGAATGTCGTTTCTCGTTTTCACTCGAGTGACTGAGAGTTGCTAAAACCCATTTATCATGTGACAATAAAAATAAAGCAGCACCCCTGGGGTAGGCGAATGCGATTACTCCAGCAATCCGAATTTGAATCACGTGACAACAGAGATAGTACAGCAACGGTGGACGTGGGTATGTTGTTGAGTTTTGGAACGCAGCCGCGGTTATTATGATTGCGGCGCGTATGTAGAAAGAACTGCGAAAAAAAAAAAAAAAAAAAAGCAAAAACGGCGGCTATGATTGTTGTAGCTGAGTGATTCCGCCCTAAAAGATGAGTAAACATTGTCGATCATTGTTCATATGATCCAACGCGGCCCGATGAAGCATTCGGACTATCCCGAAACGTAATACAATAGTTTTTAAGGGACTTTGGCCGGGGATTTTGAAAAATACGTATCATCCCGAAACTTCAATGAGCCGTGATCGTATCATCGAGATTTTACTGTAAATAGTTTTTAAGGTATCTTCTGCACAACAAGCCAGATGCCAAGAAAACATGTTTTGAGAAAACCTAGAAAGAAGTAAAAAAGTGGTTGCCTAGCCTCATATCATGTAGCACTGCCTTGAAAGTTACCGTAGATGTCCAGAAACACTGTAAAAGTGATTTAAATACAATAACAGAACAAAAAAAAAAACGCTCAATAGATTTTGTTTTGGCCTTGGCCACTGAAAATTAGCGACAGTTCCTGTTGCATGAACAAACGAGAATAGAAAATAGGCTAGTCATTATTAAATATCTTTGACAGCTTCGATAACACCTTGACATATCTAAAAAAAAATTAAAAGTGAATTGAAAATATTTTTAAATGTGATAAATATTATTTTTAAATGGGATAAATATTTTTTGATGTTCATTAATATATTTTTCTTAATTGGACCTAAAACGAAGAATGGATTTTAGCTTTTTGCGACATAATGTCATTGAAAGGTAAATAACAAAGTTTGACTATCGGAAAACGAGCATCAACAGTCTCTGCGGGCATATGTGGTCGCTAAAGCTTCCATTTATATCGATGTGCATTATTTGAACACACCAGAGGTTCTTCTTAATTACTTCTTTTTGCATGAAATCGCACGTTTCGGTGCAAAAAGTGTGAAAACGGGCAAGTTTCTCTTCTAATTGATAGGGTTGCACATGGAACACAACTCTTGATTGCCGTAGTTCAACTGCTTTGAAATGTATTTTTAGTACGACTTTGTATTTTCAAAATTCGGGCAAATAAGCTACGACTAGCGACGGAAAAATCGCCAAGAGCATTTATGCAAAAGCCCTTCACAATGAGCAACAATTTCACACGGCTACGAGCAGACGACACGCAAGGGGGAAAAAGAGCGGGCAAGAAGGAAAGGAAAGCATGCGAGAAGGTTTACTCGTTGCTTGGGCAGACGGAATCCACAATTGCCCGGGTAATCGAACCCGCGACCAGTGGAAGCATGCCCTCGGATCCTGTGCTCGATGAAGCTAATGAGCGTGACCGCAGCACGTTCCGAATTTCTACATTTTGTGCGCCTTTCGATGATGCTACAGAGACGATGTCATCGCCATTCGAGAGGGGAAAAAATTGCCCTTTCAACGCGGTCGAGATTGCCGTGCTATGCCTCTCTGTTTGCAATAAATGTTCTTGAAATTTTCGCGAAATGGGCGGCCCTTGGAAGTACATGGCGTTAGAGCACTCGCTCGTGGCCTGTGTATTGTGCTTTTCCATAACAATGGTTAGTGGTACTCGTAAGTGTGAGTTTTATCAAGGGACTTTAATTAAAAGAGCCATACCGCGTTGCCTAGTGGTTGGACTTAGCAGTGCTCAACTAGCGCTGCCGTACCGAGTCAATCCTTACGCAGCCAAATTAGAATCTAAAATGGCGGCTTCTCGCTGGTGTTTCCTGCTGATTGCTTGCGGCGATCATGTCCGAAAAATCAGAATTTTGGATTTTAAGCTGTTCAAAACATCGGTCGTGAATATGCACTTAGTCTATCGGGTGGGTCACAGCTCCTTATTTATGTCCGAAATATCGAACAACTCGAATTATCGGCGTCCAAAAAATTGGTTGGCAACTGTAAAATCTTTTTGTTATTTGGGTCGTACCGAATACAGTATAGACCACTTGCAACGTAACCGCTTTTAGTGCAGGACCGGGTATAACGCGGCTTTTTTCAACCACCGGTTCGCCTCCCATAGAACTCCATGTAATTACATACCGCTTAAAATGCAGGCGCGCGAAGGGAAATACCGGTTATAGTGCGGTTTTTGGATTAGCTCGCCGACTGCGCCGACTGATTGGCACAGCGAGCTCGCTTCCCTGTGCGACACTAGATAACGGCGCGAGCCGCAAGCAGCACTCACGGGGCAAGGAGGTTGCTCGAAGAAGTGGGGAGAAGCGAAGAGGGTGGCTTCAGTTGCCATAGCGACGGAGGGACGCACGCACGTGTCGTTCTCGTGCGTGCGTCCCTCCGCTGCGTTGGAAACAACCGCAACGACAGACCAATCGCAGGTCGAGGAGAAGTGTTCGCGCGCGTTGCATGCCGGTCGCGGGCCGGCTGCTTCTATCCGCAAGCATGGCGTCGGTTGTGATCGTCGACATAGACGGCGTGGTGGAAACTCATCGTTCCGCGTAAAAGCGCTATCCTGGACTGTGAATTTTCGTTGTGTTTCGCCATGATAACCCAGCACGTACTAGAAGGGAAGATCCACCTACTCGTGCGGCGATGTTGTGGCGGCACTCTCGAGACGGCAGAAACGCCTGTGTCGTCGTGTTTGTTTACCTCGACTACAGTGGTGCTTTCTAAGCATTTGTGTTTTCGAACATCGCCCGGATTTCTTATTTGGAGCATTTCATGCGTGTGCTCAAGTTTAAGGTATTACTGGCACGTACCGTATAAAGGATGCGAATTTTCACGCGTTATCATTGCCGGAGAAAAGTGATTAGGGTTAGCAATCCCGAACGCTTGCAACGTCTGTCTGCAACCGGCGACGCTGTTAAAAGGCTGCGCCAGGCAAAAGTCGCTCATTTCTTTCAAAATGGGTGACACACTTGAGAGAGAAGTGTACTAGTCTGGTGAAATAGACTTTCCTCAAACTAAGCTTTAATTTTCATCTAACATAAAATAAATTCTTTTACAAAGGTAGGTTGTCTGATGGCATGTATTTTGGCCTGAAAAATTGATGTTTTGGTTATAGCGCGGTACCGCTTATAGTGCGGATTTTTCGCGACTCCCGCGTTATACGTTATATGTGGTCTACACCGTAGTATGTGCCTTTATTATCATTGTTCGAGTGCATAACTTTAGTTACAGTATTTTTCTTCACCAGTGAACAATGTTAAACACTGCTTTATTTAAGACTCAAGCCTTAAATTTCCATAGCTGGAATGTAGGAACGAGCGACGATTCCAAGCAAAATGACAGTTGAAAGGAATGTAGTGTGTGTTCAAGGTTTGCCAGCATTCTGGTGGCATCTAGAGATTGCTATACAATAGAATACCGTGCATCCGCCCATTCCACATTAAGCGCCCATTACCGAATTTGTGAGATCTGAGAAAATACACACAGTACATTGATATCTAAAAATGATGACTGGACAAGTGCCTATCCCCCATTTTTTTTGCAATTAACCCAAAGTTTGAGTGGGCGCTTGCCCGGTATGCCAGTCCTGTCTCTACATGAGAGTGACCCCGTCGTGCATCTTCACTAGTGGGTAAAAACATTCAAAACGGAGAATAAAGTATGTGGGCTATGAAAGGCATTTCTTTTTATTATTGCTTATGCCTGGCAGCTTTGATCGGGCACCTGTGCTCTGGGTTCTAGCTGTTTGAAAAGATTTTGGCGTGCGGGTTGTGTTTTCAACATGGAACAAGCCTCCTCACACATATGCATGATCAGTAAGATTAAAGCAGCACTTATTTTTTGCAAATCGGACTATATTACTTGGCCTACACTTTATCTTAATCATCTACATGCACAGGGAGTTACTGATCTGCGTGCTGAAAAATGCCGAAGCTGTGTTCACGCTAACAGTGTCCGACGGTGCACATAAATGCGTGTATGAAGCAGTTTTAGCACTGCGTTTAATGCCACGAGTCGTGTTCCTCGCAGTTGTAGGCGGCCGGCAATGTGCGGTCATGTTTTTTATTCGTCCGGCAAGGCTGAGACTATGTCTAGATTCAAGAATGCATTTCACCCCAAGACGCTCGACGTGACACTTCATGCGCTCGAATTTTGTGGAGCAGGCATAATAATGTACCTTAGCTTTTATTGTTCGCTAGAGGTGGCAATTATTCACTCTTTGACCATTCAGCGAGACAGCAGACGCGCGTCGCTTTCATAAGAAAAGTGACCGCTTATCCCGGACAGTGTTGTAATGGAAAAATGCCAAAAACAGTCGATACACCCGAGAAAAATGGAAATGTTAACGTTGCGTTTTAATCTGATGTGGGCATCGTTTGACGAACCCAAAACTTTGCGATTACAGAATGCCAGCATGGGGAAGCTGCACTCGGGACAGTGGGAGAAAGCGTCCCGTCTCTTTTCCCACCCTGCCGTGAGGGACCTGTACGTCCACGCACTTCTCAGAGCCTGGAATGAGGCGGTGTCGGACGACGACGCTTGCCACGTCATGCGGGCCATCGCCGGGACAGAAGTGAGGGCCTCGTCGAGCTGGACTAAACTCTATTCTGTCTTTGTCGGTCTGGCGTCTGCTCGTGACTCTGTTCGAAACCGGCTTCTTAAAAGCACCTACTTTTTGAGAATTGATTTCCCTACTGAGACATTGATAAATTGCAAATTTATTGCAGTTGTATCCTGCTAAGAGTGTATTTATTTACGCGACAGATCTTCGAAGAAAAGCGAGCTTGTTGTAGATGTGCAAGGAGGCTGCGAGAAGGGCAACGTGGTGCATAAAATTATAGCAAACATTCACACGACGGGTCGCACGTACGGGGCGTGGCTGTAGGCACATTTGGCACGCCTTCCAAAATTTGAATTCTACCTAAAACTGGACAATGTTGTTTTGCAAAAAGTTTTAGGTCTATTTGTTTAGAGCTCAAATTGAAGCTGGTGAAATTCAAAACATAAAGCAAAAATGGTGGCCTTGCATTTCTTAAGTCTATGTCGGCCTCCTCTTCGTCTGTAGAATGGTTTGCATGCTCGCTCCCAGGTGGCACAATAGATGCGACAATGCCGAGAGCACTGTAGGAGTGGCTGGCGACGAGCGGGATAACTGCGACAAATAGTGGTTTTAAAAGGGAGGCACCGTGGTACTTTCGCTTTCTTTGGGGGTTTTTACTTTTTTTAGTGCGGAAAGAGTACCTAAAGTACGAGGTGCAATTTTGTTTCTTCGATGCCTCGTGTAGTTTTGTAGATGTCCGAGGCCAGATTCACGAAGGACTTGGGTAACGACAACTTGGCTAAGAAGTAGTGAGAGATCGGTATTCACAAACGTTTTTTTTTAAGCGAGAGGAGGAAAGTGACGGTCTCGTATGGGAAAGTAAGAGCTTTTGGTGTCCCGCAAACTCCCAATCACCGTGAGAGCAGGCTGTTGCTACGGCGACAGCGCCCTCGGCAACACGAACAGCCAATTGGAAAGCTCGGCATGATCGGAGCACATGGATTTTGGATTGCAACAAACGTGGGCAGCCTTTTCGACAACGCTTGTTTGCGGATTGTGTCCATGCGACGTAATGTCGACACTACGAAATGTCTATTTAAACGGACCCGAATGCCCAGCTCATCCGAGGACAACATAACTGCCTTGTTGAACTGCTACGAAGTCACTGCAAGTATCTTTGTTGGTAAAAGGAGACGGCTTGCATGGCTGTGCAAAGCGGTGCGCATGAAAACAAATCACAACGGGGTTTTTCCTAGCTTTGGGGATGCAGGAGGGAGCGGCGTCCAGGAAGATACGTTAGTACTACAAGTGTGTTGGCAACAGCAACACCTCCTAGAAGAGAAGGCCGTAGCGCTCTTCTCGTGACGTTGCGAAGGAAGGCCATCGGGGGCGCGCGTCGAAGCGAAGGCAACGCTCGTGGATCGACCGTCGTAATGCGCTTTTAGTCACATACGCGTGTCATATTAGCTAAAATGAAAGCTGCGCATAGCAAGGGGTGTTGAAAATATTTTATTACACGGGTAAAATATTACACTGCTAAATAATCGGTATGAAATAGATGATGTAGGCGTATAGGAGAAAACATTGAGTCACGCAGTTATTGCTCTAGGAATGCATATTCTACACAGAAATACTTTGACAAAATGGCGAGACACGCAGTGATTGGATGCAGCAAAACAGATCACAGTTAAAAATCAGGTAGACAAAGTCAACGCAAAGACAACTAGACAAGTGTCACTTACGATTATGTAAGGCATGTTATCGCGTGCAGTCACTGATTTCTTGCATCATACCCCAGCCCCATAGAAAAAGTAATGTAATTTCAATTGAACTATATTATGGGGTCGACAAATCAGCTCGCGACGCTCGTATAATCATTGAAGACCACGAGCTGATTAAGTCTCATATCATTTAATGAAAATATATTAATTTTTCCGTGTGGAAGGGGTACTAAACTTACCATTTACAGTCAACTAATTTACTTCTCGCTATGGGCTCGAGCTGCCTTAGAACATAATATCTTATTTTGTATACAATAATACTATTACCTTAATACTGTTAAGATTCTAGTATAAAAGCGGTAAAGGCTGTAAAATAACATTAGAATAACTGAACACATAAGCACAAACAACGCACTTTGTGTAATCACTCAAACTTGTTATTCACCTTCCAGTGAAAACTAGAATATTACCACGCATATTTACAAATGTCGACGCAACCACTCACGGATAACGACGAACAAGATGTCATATTATATCACAAAAAACAGAAACAAAAAAACAACTCGACTGCAACACTCTACTCGCGTCCCATATGACCAAGAAACCCCAAAAATAAGTTGTTTCTCACCTGTCGACCGTATCCATATGTCCCACAATATACGGGACGAAAACATTTGAACACAAACTTTAAGTCTCTCTCTGTCGAAAGAGAGGTCTATCGATAATCGACCAGAGTCATGGTTGGCTAGTTGCCACACAAGTCACTCAAACCGTAGCAGGACTTGTTCCGCGAATCCACGTAAATGCCGAAGTATCGAGCGAACACAAAAAAACTACCCGAGGCTGCGGTGATGACCAAGAAACGACGGGAAGGATCAAAAGAACCACACACGAGAGCAGCAGCAGCATTGTGGTTGGCTTAACGTTGTCGACCCATCTTTTGCTCGCGTGCGCTCCCTGCGGCGATGACTGGATTTTTTTTGGATCCCTTCCCTTCCGAAAGTCTCAGCGTTCCTTTTTAAAGAGTCAGCAGCTCACACACAACGTAAATTTACCAGAATCGGAGCCCGTACAAGGGAAGAAAACGTCGCAGCGGACCGGTTCGTTTGAAAAGTGTGGGGGGTCTGCGGGATTGCACATAGTCCCGTGTTTACGGGGATAATCATGAATATAAAATTGGTATTTTCAACCTTGGTAGTGCGTTGTATATTATGTGCATATTATATATATAATAAATTGTACAAAACTGCGCTTTTAAAACATATATTAATGTCGGATAAACGCTCACGAACACCCCACGCCGCTCGACAAGAAATGTTTTTTTCACATCGATGCCAGAAATTTTGCTCATGTAGTTGCGCTATGGACTTCCTTCTCCGACAGTGTGACGTAACCACTCGGAGCGCTATGGCCTTCTCTTCTAGGAGGTGTTGGCAAGAGCCACATAAATACCCGTTCACAATGGGAGCAGAATTGCGATGGCACCGCTCTGTTAAACTGAGTCTCGGTAATCGCTTTGGAACAATCCTTTACAACCTGTTATAGACCAGCACGTGGCTTTGACGTCACGCAGCCGCGGTGGCACTGTCGACGGCACGGCGCATGTGCAGAGGTTTCACTTCACGCGGATTCAGTTTCGGCGCACGTGCAATGCCCACACCTGGTATGGACAATTGGGGGCTTGTTTGTAAACGGCATGTCGGTCTATACGAGTAGTCGCTGTTTCAGCAGGCAATCGCAACTCGAAGCTGACGTGACGCTCGGCAAAGGAAGGTTGGACCGGCATTGCGTAGATTGCACAACTGCTCTAACTCGACATGTGTCGGCCAGCCGCCATGTTGGAATAAAAGGGATGTAAAAGAAAGTGTATACAGTCGCTGACCAATTTTTCGGACTCGTATGGGACCCCGAAATTGTCCTTATAATCAAGCGGTCCGACAAATCAATTTCAACCAAAATATCAAATTTCCGTGCATATTCCGCTGAGTATTGGCTACTTTCCACTTGCTTGATGTCAATTTTAAGTACTCGTGCAACTTCCGCTTTATATTGTTCACTTTTCTCTTGTTTGTTGATTTGTTTGATCACGATGCTGCGCTTTGCCGGCGCCTTCGTTTGCACAAACAGCAATGTTGAAGTTGGCGCCATTTGGCACTATTTGGAGACTGCGTTTAGTCCACCAAGCTTGCTTCAATACTAAGCCTATCGGCAAAAAACTGCACTCAAAGACCACAAGAACAGTAGACGGCCGCTTTCCTACCTCCCTGCTTTTCCGATGTTTTTTCTACCGAGCGTACTGAAGGCTCGGGCGGTGTGTCGTCTTCGTTGCTGGTAGCTGTCCCCCGCAGTGTATCTTCGTATGGGCAAAGACACAGTTGATCGCAGCGGTCAAGAAGCTGATGCTTCAATTCAGGGTCCATTTGGCAAGCAGTTCGCATAGAACCAACCCTACTAGTTGATCAGAACACAGTAGTTACAAAAGGCTCTGTTACGCACACAAGACACACCGGGAGTCGAGATGCTGCCTACGTTGGTCAACTCCGCAGCCAAGTCAATCCAAGACCAAATCCAAGGGCGAGGGGCGGGGCATACTTCTCCTCCATGTGGGTTGGAAGAGCTGGAGGTTGCGACCCCGACTAAATTACGTCCTTTAACAAAAATATTTATAATTTTTTTTTTTTTTGGAAGATTTGTGTTGTGACATGCTTGCCCCAAATAAGCTGTTTAAAAAAAAAAATTTTTTTTCTTTGCAGTTACCCTTTAAAGAAAAAATTTGAAGAATTTTAGGCTGAAGTGGGATTCGAACCCACGACCCTTTGGTTGCGAGCCAGACACACTACCGACTAGGCTTAGCAGACACGCTTGCACGGCTTGGGAACGAGCAGGGGTTTAGATGTTTCTCCATCGCATTCTACTCTTAAAGGCAAAGCTTAAGCGTCCTCCTGTAATTTTTGAGCTGCGTTTTGAACTGCGTTTTGAACTGCGTTTCTCCAGACATTGGAGTGCCCGAAGCCAGGGGCCGAACTGCTGCTTCGGAGGATGCGGTACCACCTGGTTGTCACAGATTGGATCGTGTCCTCTCAGAGGTGGGTCTCGAGCTTCCGTACGAACGGGCTCCCTCGGCACGACAGAAGTTCTCCCCCATTGTCTGCCATTCGAGTCCAAATGGTGTAATTGTCCCACTCATGTGAAAATTGGTTTTGATGAATGCATAGGTGTAGATAGTCGAGTGAAAACGAAATTGGATGATTCGATTTTGGTACCACCAGTGTTTCCCTACCTTTTGCATGGTCACGAGATGCCTGAACTAAAAGGACTCTGATATATGTTCAGATGGTGAGTATGCAGAGTTTGATGGAGTGCCTTATGAATACGGAAATGTGTAGCATATTGTTCTTGGAAAGCCTTTGGGGACTTGATGTGAGCATGCTCACTTGGAAAGCACTACAGGGCGACTACAGTGGTGGAAGCTCCTCTTAGAGCAGCCATCACTCTGCTAAAGACCGCAGTCTGCTTTCTGTTGTACATGGACGATCCATACGGTTTCCTCTCCCCAGGAAGAGGAAGACGTCCCTTGTTTCGGAGGCGGATGAAAAGAGCCGGCGGCGCACGGTGTTTGGGATGCTCCAGCACCAGACGGTGCTTCGTGTCCTCCACAAGGCCCTGGGCCTCGGTGGACTGGATGCAGCGGCCACATTTCGTCTCCTGGGTCTCCCAGGAGGGGGTGAGTTGGGCTTGGAAGGATTCCAAGCGACATTCGAGAATGATCTGTGCTTCTAGCCCTTAAACCATATTAATAGGACACTAAAATTAAAAAAAAAAAACTTTTTTTTTATTACAAACTTTTGAGAAGAAAAAATTATTTAAAAAAAAAAAAGTTGGTGGTACATGCGTGTAAAAAAATTAATATATGCAGAAGAAAAACTTTTCGAGCAATATTGACGGTGTGAGACCATTTAGTCGGTAGTCACCTCCTTTCCACTTGTTTTTTCCCTCAACATTTCGGGTGAAGGAGAGGAGGTGGATCGGCTTCGCCTTCACACCGAGGTGAAAAGAGCGAATGACCATTCTGTGACGTCATAGACTTTGCATGCAGGATGTCAAATAAATCTCTCGCCGTCAATATTGCTCTAAAAAGTTTTTTCGCGTGAAGTTTTTATTTATTTATTTTTTTTTTTGACACGCGTTTCCCAGCCAGACTGTTTAAAAAAAGGTTTTTCTTTTTCAGGGGCTCTTTAAAGGCATAAATGGGACATAACATTTTCATAATTTTTTCTCAAAAAAAAAAAAAAAAAAAAAAACAATATTTGTGCACATAATTTCGGTGGAGGTCACGGCTCATTCTAAGCCCCGCCCATTACTTCTGGATTGACTTGGCTGCTTGGCCAGACATGCTCGGAAACCTGTTGTCTTTATTTTTCCGACATCCTGTCTGTCTAGTATGGAAGTCTGACACCGCCTGCTAGACGTGCGAGCAGACGCGCACCGGCTTCCGCCATCATCTCCTATTCGACCACCGTCTGTCGTTGCCTGCAATGTTCAGACGTGGGCATTAAAGCTGCACGTTGGCATCTGTTTTCGTCTTCATTTGTGTGTTATTCCGCCATTCTCTAAAATCTTCCACAACGCTCACAAGACGTGACCACGAAAGCGGGATTCTAGCATTCCATCGTGCACGAGCCACAGTGTAGTACAAACATCTGTCAGCGTCTGTCGATGTGTGGTAAAAGTGACCAAGAAGACTAAAAAAAAAAATCAACAAAATAAATGTGCAGTCTTCCGGCTTTTCTGTTTTTGTTATTTCTTTTGCTTGACATCCACGAGTAAGGTGGGTGAGCGTCGTGACACAGAGTTAAAACGTGACCTGAAATATTCGCTTTGGCAGGTCAGGTGCACTGCAAAACTTGAAAGCTACTTTCCTTTCGAAGCGTATGGATGGGGACAAACCTAGACAAACTGGATGCGAGCCGAACGTCCGATTGCCTCCAGCCAAATTGCTCGCAAATTCTTACGTGTGTAGGTATCTACTCGGTATTGAAACCATGGTTGCAATCACAATGGTTGCACAATTCACAGAGCAATCGGGCTTCTTTTATGAGAACCAACGTCTTTAATTAGCATCAACACGTGCAAAAAAAGAAATGAAGCCAGATGGATCAAACTAATTGACGTGGGATGTTAGGCCAGTCCCGCTACAAACCCAAGTATGGACCTTTCTAAAGTGCACGGCACTTTAGAAATGCCCATACTTGGACAGACCTTCAAAACTGGGTCGGTTGAGATCTTCCTCTAAACACTTCGGTAAATGCAGAATGACTCGCAATCATAAAGATGGACAAGTTTGACGAGCTGCGATTGTTGATCATTCCGCAGACACTGGCAGCCATGTTTGCTATTGTTTAAAAACTGAAGTGGAAAGGCAATCTGGGGATATTTTTGACAACAGTAATGACTTGATCTAGATTATTCTTTTTCTCCAAAAAAGAGAATAGTAACATATTGTTGATTTCACACTTCAGTCAACTCTCCAACGAACGCGAGTTATAAAAAGGTGCTTAGTTTCGTAAGCATTGGGCAGGGCCTAAAGCCAGACTACCTTCACTTAAATTGCGTCTAAAAACATAAATATTACTGAAAAATTGTTTCTTTTTGTGGAAATGTTTGCAGGGAAGTATTAGGCTTTTAAATAAAAGATTTTGTTTTAAATTTTAGTGTTTTTCTAAAGCCATACAAGCCGAGTTTGTAGGGGCACGGGGTTCCCCCATAGGACTCTTGACCGTCCCCGATGCTTTCCCACCACTATTTGATCCGAGCCTCCCACGGATGAGTGAGCCAACATGTTGATTCGCTAGGTCCGGAGGCTTCCTGCCTCTACCGCGTCAAGGCCAGCAGGGGTTCCTCAGCAACGCCCTGGAAGCAAACAACCGCACAAAGTATTCAAAGTTTTAAATATTCGCACACCCCTATGGAGCAGTTACAGGGCCAGCCTTGGGGATTTTTCGTCCGTGGCGTGGAACCTCAGTGATGTCGCAGTGGCGCCGACATTGTGACATCACGTGACCTAACAGTGTCACGTGACGGCTTTATGCACCCGCGAAATTCCTGCACTGTGCTCTTCAGTGGCCTCCTTACCGTGCCCTCCAAAGCAGGCCCAATGACTGCTTTAGAATGCCTTTGAAAAATGCCCAGCCCATTTTTTGCCTTTTTGCTCAGTGTCCCCAGAGAAAGAAAGCGGAAGAAAAGTAACTCTTGAGAAGTTTTGTTTGCCTCTTTGAGCAGATTACCTTTTTTCGTCCAAGAACCAGGTGAGGCGGCCGAGGAGTCCAGTCTGCAGGCGACGCAAGGGAGGGACTGCACGCTCTACCGCGGCTACCTGACGATGCAGCACGTCATGGCCGCCTTCAACAACGCCATCCTGCTTGGTCGCCTTGGCGCGAATGCTCCCCCTCCCGAGTGCCCCGACGACTGGGACGTGCAGGACGGAGAGGCTGCCTGGGACACGGACACAATGGCCAGTGCCATCTCTCTCTACGGCTTGGCGAGGGTGAGTCGCCACTCTCCCGTCTATCTCCCACACTCGTGTCTTGCAGTATTTGGTACCTTATATTAATTACGTTTCTCACTCATTATCAAACAAATCTTTCAGTCTTTTCAAGAAATTTGTTGCAGGAATATTTTCCTGGAATAGGAACCGGCACACCCCAGCTCAAAGTTGAATCGATTGCAAACTAGAAGCAGAAGCGATCCAATACAAAACAGAAAATAGGCCGGAACCAAATATGCAGACTCAAAAGGCCAACGGAGGAGCAATGGAAGAAAATGTGTGGTGGACATGAGAAAAAAAGCAATGTTTCCTGGGTGACGCTACAGCAACCATGCCACCTTCTTTAGCCAGTGCGGTGCTCTCGGGAACGGTGGTGGCCCGACCACGAGTCGCAAAGACAAGGCATGAAGCCAGCTACAAGCAGAGTCCTCCCGAAGTGATGTCCCCTTTTGAATGCACTTCTAGACAAGATTAGACACTTCTAGACTTCTAGACAAGAATGCACTCCTAGAGCTTAGCATCTGGGAAAAAAAAAAAAAAAGAGAACTGCGAGAGAGACAGCAAGGCTTCTCTTTTTGAGGTTTAGTCATCTCTCACGCAGCTTTTGGGTAACCTACCCGAGGTGGGCACGGCAAGTGTTGTGGTATTCACTTATTCTTTTGTGTATTCACAATTTGTCTAACGTGGGCTCCGGACATAGGTAGTGACTTTGGCACTCCTGTATTTACTAGCTTAATAAACACACTTTTTTTCCTGAAAAATTGGCACATATTTTGGGGGGGGGGGGGGGGGGTGCGTTCATTACACGGTTAAAATTTTTTGCATTTACACACTTTGTGCAAATGTCATTTAGGTGCCAATATGACACAGCAAGGTACTGTGGCACATCTCTAGAGATGGAGGTACACCGACGGCTGGTTGGGGGTGTGCCTCAATAACCATGCTTTATAAATTGCAAACCTTTTTAGGGCATTTTCGGGGTGCCTTTTGCCGAAGGATAAGCGCCCTACGAAGCTCACTCAGCACGAGAAGCAACACGACTATTCTTAGTCGATATATATTGCTAGTATCCGGTGGGCACGCTCAGGTATATTCGCTACTACGGTCACCGACCGATTATTCGGACTTCGTCCGAATAATAGAGCAGTCCGAAAAATCAGCAGATTGAAAAACTTGCCTTTATTACTTCCAAGTGGGCCTAAAAAAAGCCGTAAATAGTGCCTTGTTTCAGGTTATGCCTCCGTTTGCGTTCGGCAACTTTCTGTTAGCTTGAGAATCACTGCCTTCTTTTCTAGCGTTGTGGTTGAGTACTTTCTGTGCTTCTTAACGACACATTGCAGCGGCAGAACAACAGATGGGGCCATGACGTCTAAGCCAGCGCTGTCCAAACGAGATAAACGCAAATCCACACGCGCAAAATGGCGACTGGTGACACTAAGGAACGGAAAAACAAAGCAAAATGATAATAATAATGATGATGATGAAGACGACGTGCAGCTAAATGGATAAAAAGAGGGCTAGCATAGTGTTACGTAGCGGTAGGACTCGGGAGTCTCAAGTAGCACTGCCAAACCAAGACAATCCATTTGCAGCCAACTATGGCGCACCGTGCATTCACGAGGGCGCCCATCAAACCTTTCTGCCAATCTTGACCGCCAGGCAGCTCCGTAGCTGGCTCGCCTCAGACACGATCATATGGTCGTGTCGCCACGGGGTCGATCGGGATCTCAAATTCGGCTCCCGACGTGCCGCTTTCTCTCCTAGCCACTGGAGGGCGCTGCAGGCGCCCCCGTGGCGGTTGAGGAGAAACCTCCTCGCCCATCGATCGAGATATACTCGGTGGGGCAGGGGGCAAGAGGCCTCTTAGAACTCCGGACGAGACCGAGACGTAGGCAGGTGGGTGGCAACCAGATCTAGGATATCGTGGGACAGGAGGCCTGGGGGCCTTCTTTGTGTTTAGCTTTTGGCTTAACGTGCGTTTGTAAATATTTGTGTAATGTAGCTTGTATTTTTAGTTTAGATTGAGTGTTTTGTAGCGTTGAGTTTTATTGTACCAATAAACTGGGAGCCGAATCCCGCTGCCGTGAAAGAACCAGGCTGGATTTGGGTTGTGACGGACCACGTGGGAAACGCGAATCGGCGGCGGTACATGATTTCCTACACAACATAGAATTCAAAATGGCCGCTTCTCGATGGCGTTTTCCGCTGATCGCTCGCAACAATTCTGTATGAATAATCAAATTTTCAGACTTCAAATTGTCCGAAATACTGGTCGTGAATATACACTATTTCTATGGGGTAAGTCACGATTCCGCCTTTAGGTCCAAAATATTGAACAAGTCCGAACTATCAGAGTCTGAAAAAACGGTCGGCGACAGTACGCGTATAAAAACTTTTGCACAACAAGGTCGAGGCTACGCCTATAACTCATTCGGTCAATCTTGACAGTGTTGTTTGCATAGCAGTCTTCTATCTTTTTTGTTGTACTGAGGATGGTCGATATCGTGCTTGGTGTAAGCTCGAAGTCCGCAATGATGTCTTTTTTCTTCCCACCGCTGTCCACTGCCCTCAAAACATTCACTTTTGTCTCCCGAGAGACTGCTTTCCACTTCGTCGGCCCAGGGCCCTCTATTTCACGTGTAAGTGCGAGCAAAACAGAAGCTACGAGAGCGAGCTGGTCAATTCAAACAAACCTGTAATGCACGCACAATGAACAAGTGAAAGTGTCATTCGAGACAACATGTTTGTGTTTGTATTACGTTGCATTACACACTTGAATTTATGGGAAACGGTAAAGAGTTTTTCGGAAACACTCTCCGCTTGGTTGCCCTTTAACCATCTCACCTCAGCCAAATTGTTTATAAATATATTCTAGATCATCATTGTTATCGGGTTTATAGGCATATGCATTGTCTATTTTTAAGCTAGTTGTATAAATATTGTTTGTGTATGTGGAATTGTTTATTTAGCCATGAAGAAAACATCATTTTCATTAAAGTCTGGCGCGTTTGCTATTCAATGCGGCACGTAGAGAGCTTTCACAATTTACCGAAGGAGATCGGAAAATCGCGAGCAAACATCACTTTGAATCCAAGGGCAAGTCCTTTTGTAATTCATGATTCGACAGGTATGAAAACATGATCGCGTTACAGAAATTCAAGAGGGACCATGATCTTTCAAACTCTTGCCGGTGCTTGTTGTCTATACCCGAGTTCGCTACCAAAGCCTCGACAACCAGCGATTTATGAAAATAATAGATTTACACTTAAAATCTGCATACTGAGCATTGTGCTCTTTCTTGGAGCCGTTTTTACTCGAAGCAATATTTAGTTAGCGGTCATTTTTATGTGAACTTCAATAATCGGTACCCCACCTGCTACACAGGATGAGTAGAGGTGCGAGATTTGTGTTTTTGCACTTTATTTTTAACTAAATGGTACGCCTCTATGTATTTTAGTGATATCAGCGTTGTCTATTCGTTCACTTACATCTGCTATGATGTGATAATAGATTTGGGTTAATTTATATAAATTTGGGAAGGTCGTACCAAAACGAACAGAATTTGCGTATCAATTAAGACTGTCAACACTTTGTTTTTGTCTTCACCAGTTCAATCCGACATAAATACCCCCTCCCCCCACCCGCAATGCCCATTTTTTTTTTTTTTGACGAAAAATAGCAAGTTTAGATGTTGCGGAACTGGTAGAACGTTGGATGCACATTACCTGCGGTGGAAAGTGATTCTGTCGTGGTTTTTACGGTTAACATAAAGTGTGTGCAAAAGTTGGAACAGAAAGAGTGTCGTTGGACAAAGGTCCTTCTCCATTGCCCAAGGAGGTGTTGATGCTGGTGGCTTTGGGAATGCTATCTGCCTGTACATGCTCACGTGCAGGCAATGGAGAAGGACCGTTTTCGAAAGCTGCTCTTCCACGGAGCTTGTCAACTGATAGATCTAAGAACGTTGGTTACGGTGGCTGCCAAGTCGTGCCTCTTGCCAAAGCCGCAGTTTTGGTAAGATTTTTGAAATGGGAGCTAGTAATAGATTTAGAAACTTGTAAATTAAAGTAGAACTGTTCATTATTTTATAACGAATGGAATTAGGCAGCACTGCACCAGCTAGTATCAGGTGTTGTGAATTCGAACAGCTGGGCCGCGATGGAATTTCGTGGCCGCTCTCTACTATCACTATATTACCCTATGGCCTCATGGGTGGCCGGGGCTAATCAAACGCCGGCGATAGGATGCGACTTCACTGCTGCGGGCGTATCCACGGCATTATAATCAAAAATGCATTTTATGTCTCGGAATGAAACCCCAGTTCGGTGAGGGGCTTTGCGGACGGTCGTTGCAATGTGGCGGCTTGACTGAGGAAGGCTGCACGGGGTTGGGACAGAGAAGTTGGTAACATTGGTGCCCAGACGGAGCCCACGGAAAAAGAGGTTCGAGCCCTCTGGGTCGACTGCCGCCCTCCCGGTCTCTGAATTGGAACATAGCAGTGCAGCATGCTCTGTCCGTAAAAGGCATAACAGCAACAAAAGCAAACCACGTCCCTCCAGTTGCACTGGAGCAGGGATGGGCAAAATACATGCAAATATGTATCGAAATACAAATACAAAATACTTCGTCAAAAATGTATTTAATTACAAATCTAATTACATTTCCGAAAAAGCATTTAAATACAAGATACAAATACAACCAAATGTATTTGGCCTCCTCCAAATACTTTTCCAAATACATTCCTTAAAATTAGCGTCAGCGACTTCAGGGCACCTGCAACGGGTTTCTGGGTGTCTCATTTTAATTTTGCATCGCACTCTCGGGAGTTAGTGTGCGAGGCTCTAGTAACGTAATAGAAATATAATCGCAAAAAAAAAAAAAAATGTAATCAGCTTGTACGTAATAGGTGAAAAAAGTACAAAGCTTCAAGCAGCTTTTTTTTCTTTTTTTTTTGTCAATTACAATTAGTCTAGACCAATAAAGAACCGAGACAACCAAGACGCACACCACTAGCTAGAGAATTTTTTATTGTTGCAACTCGCACCAGTTGCGAAAATCTCGACGGACTGTGCATTTAGAATGTTCCAGGCAAAAAAATGGATGGAAATCAGGCTGGAAAGCATCACAAGTTGTCGCAGGCCCTTATTTAGCCAGTCTGCCTGTGAACGTCGATTTCGTCACTATTCTTGCCCTGGACTAGCACCGTAATCACAAGGTCACTAAACGCTTGTGCTTGATTGAGAGACACTGCATTCGGTGCAGAACGTAGTTTTCTTCCTGCTCTGGACAGTGACAATAAATTTGTGGGATGTATTTTTGCCCACAAAATTGTATTTAATTACAATTGTATTTGAAATACTCACGTTGAAATACCCACGTTAAATACATTACCCAATTTGTAATTAAATACAAATGCAAAATACACGAAGTATTTGAAATACGTATTTCAAATACTTGTATTTGAAATACTGCCCATCCCTGCACTGGAGTACATGTTTTTTCTGCTTTCCACCGACACTGCATCTCTTCCCTTTTGTTGCTTAGTGGTTGCCCGGTTGTTCACCTTGACCGATTCTCAGTTGTTCTTATCTGCATCAAGTTGCAATCTACTGTCTCCTTGCTGCGTAGTCTAGGCGTCAACATTGTCACCTCCGTCTTTTTTCGATCTGTCTGGGTTCTTTGTCTCGGCTGTCTATTTAAGGTTGTTTTGCGAAATAAACTTCGGCTGTGTGTGGGGATTTGTGTTGTCCAACTCTTTTGTTTCCCCACTCTGCAGGATTCAAAAGTTCTTAACCGGCTCGCCTGCACCCTTGCTTTCGCTTCAGTGACCGTGCTTTACGCTGCAAACGTTTTGAGTGCGCCTCCGTCGTGCTTCTTGCCAAAGAAAAAGCGCCATGCGACACTCGACACAAGTTTTTGCGTTCGTGGTGCAGCAAGCAGAGCGACCGTTCCTAGGCCTAGCCGCTTTCAGAATTTCACTGTCCGAAAGTGGACCTCAAACCACGGCGCATATGTTGACGTCAAGAATGGACGAAACATCCTCATAGACAATTCCTTAACCGCAGCTTTGTGGGCTATGTGCGCCGACTGGTGACACTGTTGATTACTCCTGTAACGTCCCATCCGCAGTCTTAACGCATGTGCATATGCTGCCATCTTAGGTGAAAATCTGTTCATGATAAAGCTGGAATATAGAACTGCTCCCAGTTCTATAGTCCAGCTGATTAACTCTCTTTTTCATCTGGATCCAGCTGAATCCAGCTGGATTTGTTTGAAAAGCTGAATCCAGCTGAGCTCGACTGAATTAAATCCAATTTCTAGCTGAATTCAGCTGAATCTAGCTGGATTAAGTCCCATATCTAATTGGATCCACCGAGGACCAGCTCCATAATTCAACTCCTGCTGAACTGATCTGAGTGCTTGCCTAGCTTGGTTTGGCTGGGCTGGGCCAAGTTGGGTGGCACCGCGCCCTCGTAAATGTCTCGGTGGCTGGTTGGGTGGATTGATTATGCGAGTAAATTAGTTCCCTGGGCTGTGCAGGTCTACAAGCATGCAGTACTGGGCCAGCTGCAGAGGTTCGAGGAGGAGGCTGGCCGAGTGTTCCCGCTGACGTTCCGGCTGGAGCTGCTGGAAAATGCCTTCTCGCTGCTCTTTGTGACCCACAACAACCTGCGGAGGGACGCCAGGGACGACGAGGATGCCACAGATGCGGAGGATGATGCCAGGAGCGAGGACCCCCACTCCCCCACGGGCTCCAACAACAGGGTGCACCAGGAGGGGAACCAAACCGCAGGTGCGGACCGTTTGCAGAAATCTCCCAAGAATCTTCCTGTAGCTGTTTTTTTGCTTCTGCAGCGTCTATCACAGGATGCCAAAGAGAACAAGAAATGGATGGAGTTGATAGTTTGGCCCTTTTGGCTCGTCTCAATGCCTGGGAAAAGGGTGCCGTAAAGGGCGACTATTGACACCTTAATCTCCAAAGTTCTATAATGCGTGAAATGCAGGGCCTAAATTTGTTTACCAGACATTTGGGGAGGAAAAAAGACATATTTTTATTAGTATCAAATATAGCGGGGGATATTAATGTCACAAGACCTACGCACCAAGCTAGTTTTTCCGCTAAATTTAGGGGGGAAATTGACTTGGTGCGAAGGTCAATTCCACTTTCCCGCTAATTTCAGAGGAAGCAGGTTTCTAGCTAACATAAATTTTCTCGCTAAATTTACCGGGCAAACTAATGGTGCACTCGCTTGTGTCAGTCGTCTGCTGCAGCAGGTTCTACAGAGCCAGTTCTCGGAATTTGGTGTTGAGTAGGGCAGGGCAGTTTTGCGGAGGTCTATTGGATGCGGACCCGTGGTGGAGCAACCACAAAATATCCCAAAGTCTGCTTAATTGTAATAAGCACACTTTGGAAGCTGGAGAGCTTCTTCTCTATGCTCGGCAGCAGAGGCCCTGAGACTTAAACGCTGCAATTGATCTTTCAGGCGGGGAGGACGCATGCCACGTCACGAGTCCGACCCTCGCCTCGTCTGTGGCAGGTGCCAAGGAGACGAGCGACTCCCTGTCCGGCAAGGGCAGCACGGCCAGCAGCGGCGCCGGTCCCAGTGCCATGGGCTTCCTCTGTCCTCCGTTCCTGGTTCCGGATGTGCTGGCCACCCTGTGCAGCGCCGTGCTGGCCGCCTGGGCAGCGGTGAGCCAGCCTGCCTAGCTTGGCACGGGCAATCCTAGGGGCCTAATGGGGGTGTTATACAGTGTTGCTCCGATTACTTTTCTTTGGCGTTTTTATGTTCCGGCTCGCCACATAATGGTCAAGGTGCCCGAGCCAAAGATGTCACGTACCAGCCAAAAAACAAACAGCAAAGCATATATCTGGCCCTTGTTTGGGAATTTAGGTCAAAGTTGCCGGAGGAAAGCCATACACAAGCCATTCTTTTTTGTCATCCTTTGCTTTTTCCCTTTGCCTACCCCAGTCTCAGGTTTGCCATCATGTTCAACTTACACCAGCTCGCCTGCACTCTGACTTGTTAGTCTTACTCTGGCAATTTCGTCCCAGAGATGTCATATGACTGAAAAACTACCGGCAGTGAAACCTTACTATGCTTGGGCCAAAGAAGGTCAGTCTCATCTCAACCTTCTTAGTGTTCTAAATTTTGGTCCAAGGATTTGCGCTACCTGGGAGCCAGAGAGAGTAAGGAGTGCATCTCCGACAGGTGTGTTGACCCTCAAAAGTGATCTGTCGATTTCCGCCCCTTGTGGAAGTGTCATCATCCTGGCACAGCGCAGACGACTGTTCTCCTGCAGGTCACTGTGCAGCCAAGCAGTAGGCGGAAACCGAGGCAGCCCTTGCATTTACTTTTTGCTCCCAGCATTTGTACGACTAACTGCCAAGATGGCAACATCTTTTGGGACAACTTTGGATACATGGGCGGGAGGGCAAAGACCGGTCGAAGATGCCTTCCAAGCATTTTCGATGCAACATGCAGGTTTCCTGCAATTGTGCAGAATTCTGAGCAAACTCTCTTCTCTTCTTGTTTCCGTCTGCAAGCTGTAACCAATGATACAGCATCTATTATATACCTGCTTCGATTACGCACACGGAGAGTAATGCACCGGACAAATGTGATATGTTAGCTTCGATATAGTTACCAAGAACCCTATTATGCCTATAAAGTCGCCAACCGATTTTTTGGATGCTGATATTTTTGACACGTCAGATTATTCGGACGTTTTCGCCGAACCGTCACTCATCCTATAGAGTTATTGTATAGCATTGACCAAAATTTTGTACGCCATAAAGCTTATTGCTCTATATTTCTGACATAATTTGCGTGATTTCCTCAGTTGGTTGGTCGCAGGTTCACTAGAAGTAGACAGATCAGAAAAGTATACAATTCGATTTTAAACGTGATAACAGACTGTAGACATCAATAAGAAATACTGTAAAATCTCACTTGAGTGAACTTCAAGGGACCCAAGAAGTGAACTTTCACTTAACTGAAAGTTCACTAAACTGAATACAATGTAGACCGCATATAACGTATTTCACGGGAGTCGCGAAAATCCGCACTATAAGCGGTACCGCGCTATAGCCAAAACATCAGTTTTTCAGGCCAAAATACATGCATGCCATCAGACAACTTACCTTTGTAAAAGAATTTATTTTATGTTAGATGAAAAATAAAGCTTAGTTTGAGGAAAGTCTTTATTTCACCAGTCTAGTACACTTCTCTCTCAAGTGTCACACATTTTGAAAGAAATGAGTGACTTTTGCCTGGCGCAGCCTTTTAACGGCGTCGCAGGTTGCGGACGGACGTTGCGAGCGTTCATGATTGCTAACCCTAATCACTTTTCTCCGGTGATGAGAACGCGTGAAAATTCGCATCCTTTATACGGTACGCGCCAGTAATACCTTCAACTTGAGCACAGGCATGCAATGCTCCAAATAAGAAATCCGGACGATGTTCAAAAACACAAATGCTAAAAAAGCAGCACTGCAGTTGAAGTAAACAAACACGACGACACGGGCGTTTCTGCCGTCTTGAGAGTGCCGCCATGACACCGCCGCACGAGTAGGTGGATCTACTCTTCTAGTACATGCTGGGTTATCATAGCGGCACACAACGAAAATTCACAGTCAAGGATAGTGCTTTTATGCGGAACGATGAGCTACCACCATGCCGTCTACATCAACGATCACAACCGACGCCATGTTCGCGGATAGAAGCAGCCGGCCCGCGACTGGCATGCAACGCGCGCGAACACTTCTCCTCGACCTGCGATTGGTCTGTCGTTGCGGTTGTTTTCCAACGCAGCGGAGGAATGCACGCACGTGAACGACACGTGCGTGCGTCCCTCACTCGCTATGGCAACTGAAGCCTCTCTCTTCGCTTCTCCCCGCTTCTTCGAGCAACTTCTTTGCCCCGCGAGTGCCGCTTGCGGCTCGTGCCGTTGTCTAGTGTCGCACAGGGAAGCGCGCTCGCTGCGCTGGTCAGTCGGCGCGCTGTTCCAAAAACTGCACTATAACCGGTATTTCCCTTAGCGCGCCTGCATTTTAAGCGGTATGTAAATACATGGAGTTCTATGGGAGGCGAACCAGTGGTTTAAAAAAGCCGCGTTATACCCGGTCCCACACTATAAGCGGTTACGTTGTAAGTGGTCTATACTGTAGTACATTCACTAGAACATGGAACAGCATGGGGCACAGCATACATTCAGTCAAAAGTGTGAAATGCAATTTATGGAGTCGTGTACATCAATATTTACAAAGTGCATAACAGTTACGTTGCTGCCTTTCTCATTTTGAAAAAAAAAAAAATATAATTTTCATTTGCATTGGTTCTGTTAGACCGCATGAAGTAACAAAGTTATCCAGAGAGTCTGCTTTTCTGCACTTCCTGTGGCACAGCTTGCTGCTGTTGCGAAGCCATACCGCAACGACATCGCCCACTGGCTTGAAATAATCCGTGCAGAGCCGTTTCCTGTTAGCATTGAACGCAGTTTCTTCTTCAAGCTTTGACATTTGCTTTACTATCGTTGACAACGTTGACGGTAGAATCCTATAGTCCTTCGCAACGTCCACTTGCCTTCGACCATTGACCAGACGTTGAAGGATTTTAAGCTTGTCTGATAGAGACAACCCCTTCCGTTTCGTCGTTCTCATTACGAAAGTGGGCGCACAAACTGCCGTCCTGCCGTTTGTGGGGAAAAGGCTCAGATTACGTACCTTTTACGTTCGAGGACCGGTCCGGCGCTCAAAGGGAAATCCGATGCCCGTCCCACCGCGTGGCCGACGGCTACCAGCGAGAGTGGTCACTGTGCCAGGTTCGTTTACGCCATGCCAACAACGATGATGCCGGTATCCAACAGCGTTTATTGAGTACCAGGGGTCCCCAACAAGACATTGCGGCCCTGTGAGCCGTGTACACAGAGTGCCCGCTGCGCCCCCCCCCCCCCCCGACCTGAGAGCCTAAGGGGTAATTGCGAGCGGAGTCATCGCTGGTGGGCCAAGCTCACGCCGCTACCCGTTGTCGCAGGAGTTGGGGGCCAGGGCTCTCGGCAGATGGACGTTCACTAGGGGGAAGAGACGCCGATTGTCAGAGCCAGGGAAAACGCTAGTGTCGAATCATCGCCGGTTGGACGAGCTCGTACGCCGCGGCTCGTCCCGTCGCCCGAAGCCCTATCCAGGACCCCTCGACCAGACGGCCGTCTACTCGGAAGAGAGCAGACCCAACTCTCCCGCGCATTCTCGCTGTTCCCCCGAAATCTGGGAGACGCGCGGAGAATTGCGCGAGAGTAGGCCAGCAAGGTGGCACACTTTCCCCGATATGATACGAAGCGACCAGGCTCGAAGCCAGGCAGCTTTGCCTGGAACGTCCGTGGCTTACACCTTTTTGGGGAGGGGAACCAGTGGCTCCCACACGTTTTACCCAAAACTAATATGGCGAAACGGAACCGATGACAAAGAAGAAACGGACATACCATGTGGTTTGTTTTAGGGGCAAAGCTCCTTAGGGTCTAGCCTTGTCCGGCGTCCATGCTTACATCGATTGCTATCCCATCTGTCTTCTTAAAACAAGGAAAAATGTTTGCGCAGTCGATAGAATTCGAACCTGTGCGGGGAGACCCCAATGGATTTCCAGTCCATCGCCTTAACCACTCGGCCACGACTGCGGGACGACTAGGGGGCTCTGAGATGTGGTAGTAACTCGAGAGCTGGGGATGTCATGGATGAAACGTTGCATGCAGCCGCTCAACGTCTATACAGGAGAGGGTGCTGGGGTCAAATGCATATATAATCGCGTTAAAATTTGCATGCATTGGCTCAACTTATATAAACGAGAGGGCGCTGCGGTCAAATGCTCAAATGCGTATATAACCACTTTCCTTACCGCACATTCTCTTTCTGACATGGATTGTTACTTAAGCGTTGGAGATGCATTCCCACGGCTTCTAGCAGCTCCAAGCTGATCTGCTAGAAGAACCACTGGCTCTGCATTTCACCGACCATAAAGCAGTAATAATGAAGTCGAAACGCAACCTGGAACTCAGCACTACCTATGAGCAATAAAAAAAAAAAAAAATCCGCACCATCAGCACCACCTATGAACAAAATCAGTATCATCAGCACCGCCAGAGCTTTGCCCCAATCAACATGATTCACCACATGGAGATGCTGTCATTTTTTGTTTACCGCACCGCTGCTTTGCCTCGGCGGCACTGTAAACACCAGCGATGATACTCCGCCGCTGCAGTGACGGCGGGGCGGCGAGCATAGGCCATGCTAGCACTGCAGAGCGCAAAACTTTGTTCAACTGATTGCAAAAATAATCTTGGGTCCACCGATCAAGTTCGTTAAACTGAAATATTCGCTATTCCGAAATTCGTTTTTCGTTTTAAGTGAAACATTTTTGCAATGAAGGCATAGGAAAACCGCCAGGGATTTTTTTAAAGTTTGTCATTCTGAAATATTCGTTAAACCGGCGTTCAGTCAAGTGAGAGTTTACTGTACTCCTAAACTTGTTTTATTTTTAGAGCTACCTGTATGAAACTCTCAGGGTATATTGATAGCTGTTACGATGGCACTTCATCGTCCTTTATTCAGCAAGTGCAAAGACATGCGGCCTCAGCTCTGGCCACGCCCCACGCACTGTTCCTGATTGAGCTAGAGACATATTTTGGGACTCTTAACTTACCACCAATCTCTTGCAGTCTTCTCTCGTAAATAATATGTAAATAGACCACCACATAACTCTGGCGACGAGGATAAACCTAAATGGTTCAGTGAAGATACCCAAAGGTTGAATTCCGGACTACACTCCTAGTACGAGTTGGACATCCTGGAAGGAACGGCTCGAATTCTACATCGCAGAGTTGTCAAAGAAGCTAGTGCTACTTTTCAGCCTATGCAGGGAGGAAACCTATGGCGTGGTTTGTGGTTTACTTCACCCACAAGTGCCATCTGAGGTCTACGACGACGTTGTGCAATGTCCATGGCAGCATTTCGAGTCTGATCCATCGGAACTACTCGGGAGATGGCGATTTTACAAACGTGTTCAGGAGCCTCACGAAACCATTCCCGAATACGTCGATGTTCCACGAGCTCTTGTAAAAGATTACAACTTCGGCACAACAGTGGTCACGACCGTGGCACCTGCCACGACAAGCGCACAAGTGCTGAGCTGCTCCACTACCCGGAAATCGGCAAGTGGCGCCGGGAGAACCTTACAGCAAATATCGGGAGCACAGGTAGTTACATCTACAGTTCTTCCACTGGAAGTTACGCTATGCGACCGCTGCATGTGGTGCCTTCAAGACGTTCACCTCCAGCAACGATTACTCTCCGAAAGAGTCGTTGCTTTCCAGAAAGTGTTTGATTTGGCTAAGGCAATGGAATCGACAACAACCCATCAATCAAAAATGAGAGACAATGTTGACAAGATCCATCAAAGCTCCTCCGAACAATGTGATACTGGATCAACGGCAAAGCTGAAAAACCGGGCCCAAAATCGTTGCTATAGGTACAGCAACGACAATCACTGACCGGAGGTCATCTTGAGATGGCTTGGATTACAAAGAAGAAACAAGGACGAAGCAAGAAGACTCATCAAGTGAGTGAGTTGAGTGCTGACCGTGATACAGAACTTTACACCCTCCACAAAACATATGAGGGACCACCAGTCGACCACATTTTCAGATTACCCTCACCATCTACGGTAAAACCTTCCAAATGAAAGTCTACTTGTGAGCTGCGATCATGCTCATCAGTGAAGTAGCCTTTCGCTGACTATGATCGAAGGGAATGTAAAAAGTGCAGTCTGAAGAGATGCAACTGTACACCTAGTCAGGTCAAATGCTGCCAGTTCTCGGTAAGATTCAGGTCAACGTTCTGTAAACAACCGCCGCAAGAATGCAACCAGTCAAAGTCACTCTGCATGTCGTAAAAGTACAAGGAGCAAGTCTCCTCGGCAGGGAGTGGTTTGCACCATTGGACATTTGCCTCTCTGGAGTGAATGCCGTGACCTCCACCTCGTTGGATAAATACTAAGATGTTTTCACTGAACTGCAGAACAGTCATCCGCTTTGACCTCGAGCAGCCGCGCTGGCTTCTGCTACAGAGCATCTGATACGACGTGTCGCAGCCAATTTAGGTGCCGTTTTTCGCGGTTACGGGTTTTAGGTTCCGTTTCTTGGCGGTTACAGATGCCGCCATCTCCACTCCATGGGACAGTTAATGCTTTTGTATTAATAATAAAAGTTGCGCAGCCCTCAGGAATCGAACCTGGGGCCCCTGTGTGCGAGTCGGGCGCATTGGCACCCTGCCACACATGCGGCATTACTCCCCCACTTAACACACTCGTCGTCCCAATGCAGCACAAAAGAATATGCAAAGAAAAAAATGAAAGCCGTTTACAACTCCCTGTAACGCCGAATTAGAGCGCAGTACTTGAGGAGGAGGAGGGAAGGGTACTGATGGTCATGTGTTCTCGGGGGGGGGGGGTCACGTGACCTAGAGGGGGGAAGGTCACGTGACCATGGGCAGGTGTCACGTGACCTCGGGTCACTGAAGGTACTCGAGGTCCTCCCGAGGTCCTCCCGAAGGAACCCGAGGTCCTCCTGAAGGAACCCGAGCTCCTCCCGAAGGAACCCGAGGTCCTCCCGAAGGAACCCGAGGTCCTCCCAAGGTCCTCCCGAAGGAACCCGAGGTCCTCCGAGGTCCTCCCGAAGGAACCCGAGGTTCTTCCGAGGTCCTCCCAAAGGAACCCAAGGTTCTTCCGAAGTCCTCCCGAAGGAACCCAAGGTCCTTCGGGAAAATGTACCCATAATGAACCACGCGGTTACGCTGACGGCGACGCCGACGCCGCTCAAGCCGGAAACGGGTGCCTAAGAAGGAACGGCACAATCAGAAGTCAGTTCTCAGACGGTTCACAGCTGTATCGATCATAATACGGTTTGAGATAGACGACGTGCACCACCTCGGGTTGTACCGGGCGTCTTGCAGATGGCCGCGTTTCGTCGTGAAGAACTTGGTAATTGAGATCTTCGAGGCGTTTGATGATCTTGTATGGTCCGATGTATTGCTTGAGCAGTTTCTCGCTGAGACCGTGGCGACGAATTGGTGTTCACACCCACACTTTCTTCGTGCTGGAAGTGGACGCTGCGGCATTGAAGGTTGTACCAGCGAGCTTCGAAACGTTTATGATCGTGGATCCGAAGCCGGGCAAGCTGCCGTTGGTACTCGTGACATGATTAGGCAGACAGATGGATGGTCTTCGGAAATCTTGGCTAGCAGTACTCGTCACGAATACGGGAAAGTCTCCTGCTGTAGCCGAGGTGCCCAGCTGTTGGGTGGTCGTGTCATGCTTGTAAAATTTCGGCCCGAAAGCTGGTAGGGACAACTTGCAACCATGCCGGGCATTTGGTCCCGATGGTATTTTTGAAGAGCACACATCGTTGAAGGACTGGACTTGACAGGTCTCGAGAAAAGACTCGGAGAACTGAACTTCCTTGACCTTCGAGGTGGTTAATCGTGGCGTTTTTTTTTGAAGTGCTTCCATGTTGGCAACGCTACGTGCGCTGAGAAAACTAGCGTCGTTGTCGTCGGTGCTGGTGGGAGGAGATTCAACTGGGGCCCTAGAAAAACGGTCGGCGTCGTTGTGCATGAGATGCTCGAGTAACGCCACCACTGCGCTACCTCACCGGACACCGTCTACTTCTGCTGGCTTCATTAAATGAAGAAGGCCTACTGCAGTGTGCATTCAAAACAATATTTAATCATTTGTGAAAGTGTTGTTAATGCCATGTTTCATAGTTTGCAATCAGTGGTGTGGTAATTAAGGTAAGCAGTGATTGCCTTGTCCTACCATTGTTGCGCATGAAGGCATCATGGGACAAAGTTAGTCATGCCCTGCTGTCAACCCTTGACGACACGCATTGGAAATCTCTTAATCCCTCTTTTTCGTAATGTGCGAAGTGGTGCATATACTTTTGCTGCCTCGCAACAATGTCTGTCGACTTGATCCAACAACGTCTGTCCAAGCTTTGCATCTAGAACCGGCAGACATTGTCAATGTCGTTATATCATGGAGCAGAGGACGCGCTTTTGACGGCGGAGGCACTTGTAGTGGCCGCATTACACTTGTGGCCAAAGTATTTATGTTATCCCTCCTTAAGCCATATTTTGAGTATGTTCATGTTTTTGGAATGGCCATTTGAACCAAGGCTCAACATTTTACTCTGTCTGCTTGCTCTGGAAGCCATATTTTTTTGCATGTTCCAGTTTCATAAGCAAAATATGTCTAAGTGCTGACTGTTGGGCGGGTTGGTATTGTGCATTTGAAAACAGGACGCAATTTAGGACAAGGACAGTGGAAAACAGACAACACAGAGCGCTAACTGTATAATCTGAGACCATTGTGTATACACACTGTGCAGCCGCAAAAACCCTTAACCACTCAACTTCATGTCACCAATTGCAAATATGCTACCTCATTTTACAGCAAAGCTGTTATGCGCTAGGATCTGAGGAAAAATGCGTTCGCGGATGTTGACAGAATACTCCCCATTGATCGTGGCAAGTATGAATAAATAAAAATAAAAAGAGGGGGCAACCAATGTGAATCAGCCTTCCTTGGTATTCATAGATAGTGAGGTCCTGATCCCTTGTAATAATCTCTTTGCATTGTCCTTGAGGTCGTCCCAGAAGTCGTCCTTGAGGTCGTCCTTGATGTCGACCTTCAGGCGTCGCCCTCGAGGTAGTCCTAGAGGTCGTCTTTGAGGTCTTCCTAGACGTCGTCCTCGAGGTCGTTATAGAAGTCGTCCCTGATTTAGTCCTAGACGTCGTCTTTGAGGTCGTCCTAGAAGTCCTTGATGTTGTCCTAGACGTCGTCCTCTAGGCGTCTTCCTCAAGATCATCCTAGAAGTCGTTTTTGAGGTCGTCCTAGACGTCATCCTCTAGGCATGGTCCTAGACGTCGTAAAAATAACAGCTTCGCTGGTCCTCCATCTTCACGTGAAGTGGAAGGGCTCTACAATTTTTTGCCTGGTCAATTGAGGCCACACTAAAACACCCCGTGCCGGAACTTTTGATGTGTTCAGCCTCAATTATCTCTCTAACCGCCTTGTCTTCGTGTTTGGCGAGAACGGTACACGAGCCAAATAAAGGTTCACATTTGCAGTCGTGATAGTGACACGAAGAACGGCCATCCTGAAATCTGTTTACTTTCTGATTGTGTTCTCTTTGTCTGTCATTAAAGTGGTCCCAATCTGGTCTATGTTCTGTGCAGTCAACCAAGGAGGCCCCGACAATGCCCACTTGGCCAGTCCAAACATCTGTGAGCTGGGACGAGTTTGCTTTTCGGTTGGACCAGCTTCGCAAGCACATTGTGGACGCTCAGTGGCGCTACGAGCTCATCACCTCAACCTCCACGTTGGATGCCGGCCCCCAGGACGAAAGTATGGGTCCACCACCAGGCTCGTCCTCTTGGACAGGCAACAGCGAAAGCTCTCGAGGTATTTGGGATTCGGCCATCTTTGTTGGCGCCTTTCTGCATCTTTGTTGTTGGGATGTGGGGGACTAGAGGTTCCTTAACTTTTCGATATTGAGAGACCTCTATTTGCCAAGACCCCTGTCCGATTTTGGCATTGATGCGATAAAGCATTACAAATGCCTATAGACCTTGTAAAGAGTGATGCACGCACTAGGAAGTGTTTGCCTCACAGTTATGCATCGATGAGTGGCTCGTGTATTTAATACGCAATCCTTTGCACCTTGATGTTTGGCTTGGTGGTTGCAGAGTTCTTTCGATTGTCATTTTAACACGATCTTCATGACCAGTAACCTGCCATTTGAACTATACGAATGCAGTTCATCCCATTCTATACATTTCATATTTTACGAGAATCACAGTCTACATGTGTTGGGTCCCAGCCCAGCACGCACATGTTTGTCGCTTTGGAAGGCGAGCAATGTACGCGCCACATGTATGAACGCTGAAAATGGCTTTAACCAGAAGCGCTTTTCAGAAATGGTCTATAGATTTTTTGCTAACTTACTTAAGCACCAAGGAGCATATTCATGCCACAAGAGTAGTCACATGTGCTGGTGCCTGTAACAGTAACTTTTCTAAAGAAAATCTAAAACAAATGGCACATTCCTTCAGGTTATACGAGCGTGTGGGGCATCTGTACCTACATTCCGAGCATTTTCTGTGGTGCTTTGGCAATTTGTCAAAAAATGTATTGCGTGACTCTTTGACCTTTCCTCGCCAGACATCTTCTAATAAAAAGAGAATGGATTTACTAGCGATATCATGAAATCAGCGAGCCGCAGAGCGTACTAAGTTCCAAAAGCGGTTTAATCAAAATTCCAATTGCTCTGTTTTTTTTTTTTTATTTTCTAGTTTTTATAGTTTAGCACATAGGCCAAGGTCATACTTTGTGCAAATATTGAAACTTCAAATAGCACGAACGCCCAGGTTTTCTCACTGTTAGACGCGAGAAAGGCGGACATAAGCGTACCCGATTGCCGGCCGTGCGCCTCGCTGCCCACAGGTGACGTCATGCTTGGGTGGCGGGGAAAACTGTGGAAAGACTAGGGAGTATGTTGTTTCGGTTTTGGCAGCAAACAATATATCACTTTTTTAATTAACTAGAGTAAACCTGGAAGAACGAGATAGCATTTCGGAATCAGGAAGCCATCCGCATTTAGATTATGCCTTTGGATTAGGTAGCTTGAGCAATCGGCAGGGTTCCACTTTAAGAAAGTTGTGTTAGTAACATTTGTTTGCGAGATGGAGTTGTAACGATAAATGATAAAGAAACATACGTGAAAGACTTTTCAATGACGGGAAAGAATTGGTAACAATAAGCTTGTTTGCATTGCGACTGTCGGCACAGTCGAGCCCGGTTATATCACACCCGGGTATTTCGAATTATTGTTTATATCGAACAGTCTAAACACCCCTTTGAAAATAACATAGAATGGTATAGGAGCATTGTTTTTCTGTATCGAACTCCCACAGCGGGAACACTTGATATAGTGAACTGAAACGGCCGCTGGTCACTTCTCCCGCGGTTGGATTGCGCCGGCGGCAAGCATAGCTCGCGTTGCGGGGCTGGCAGACTACCAAGCCAGCATGTGCACACGGGGATATGCAGCGAAAGAGCAGTAAAGCAGTTGTAAGAAAGAAAAAAAAGCAACCGTAGAGAAAAAAAAAGAGCAGGGAATGCCTCCTGTTGGAACGGTAGCGTGTGCTGTTTCCCCGAACATTGCGCAGCGACAGCGTCCTTAGCCCCAAAATAAAAAAGAAGCAAATAAAAAAAAGTCTTAGTCAAGTCGAGTGCGTCGACAATGGTTGAGCAATCACATTTTGAATGCCTTTGTTTACCTTTTCTTTCGCCATTTTTGCTTTGCCCGTTTCTTCTTCTTTTGCCTTTCTTTTTTTGCTGCCTGAATTTAGTGAGGTTTCTTTTTTGTTGCTTGCTTAACTTCATTCCATAAATGGAGAGATTTTTTTTTTTTATGTGGTTTTTTCTTTGGTTCTTTCATTTTTTTAAAGTTATTTTCATGTTTTGTTGCCGGCGCTGTGTGGAAGTCACAAACATTGTTGCGTAAACGCTGTGGTGTTTGTGATCTTCACCAACTAAGCTCTTCTGTATTTAGCGGCTCTTAGAGGCTCTATTTGGTAAGGTCCCGTTCGTTGCGTCCTTCGGTATTTGCAGAGACCCTCAAAAATTTCAACTGAAGCTTAAGTGAACATATTTTTGTATATCAAATTATGGGTATATCGAACTATTTTACGATCCCCTTTGATTTCAATATATCCGGGTTCGACTGTACAATGGTAACTAGAAAAAATAAAGCGGGATTCATGATTTTGAACAGATTCCGATTGGGAAATGAGTGAGTCAAGACCGGGGTCTCTGATAGATGCTGCAGATTCCAACCTACTAGGAACATTCCATGTTCATTGCAGACGAACTTCCCGTCGCCCCACTGCGGAAGCTGTCGCGAAAGAGCAAGCGGAGGCGGCGTTGTTCGTCCATGACGTTGGATAGCAGCCAGCGCAGCATCATTGAGAAGATGTTGGCTGGGCCCGAAGCACTCCTGCGCTACTGTCTTTGGCACAGCAACTACCGCAGTGCAGGACAGGTTGTTCAGGTGAGTGCACCGTCGATCCTGCAGATATTGCGGTTGAGAGCTTTGCATAGGAGGACACTTATAATGGAGAGTTTTAAGGAAAAGCTTTGCATCTCCCATCGATCTAGCCACGTCTCGATACAATTGCCAAACGACATGCTATAAGTCCACACTTAGAACACAAAAATGTAGGGTGTGAATATTCAAGTTTCAAATTTGAATCGAATAACGATTCAAACGAGACGAGACGACTTCGGAATAATTTGATTCGACTTTCGGATTTGGCCGCGCCAAGACGCTGCGCTGTGGCGAATGATTGTACTAGACACCAAGCAGGCCTGTCTGTGCCATTTCATCGTGCCATGTTCACACCGCCATTGGTGATGCTGCCAAGGCGGAGATAGCGCACTCTTTTTAGGCGTTGCACCCTCCCCATAGCGGAAGTATTTTCCTGTCAACTCTATGTTATCTATTTATTTTTCTGCATATAGATCATTTCAGGTCATCCCAGCCGTGGGGAGGGAACAGCTATCAGCAATGGTGAACAGAATAAACAACAAAAAACTAAGCACCCTAGAAAGTAGTTTAAAACAACCATATATTAAAACAAAGACGCATGATTGGTGACATAAAGTTATTGTATACGAGCGTACGTGTAGACCTATGGACGTTATTCTCCAGCTCGACCGTACGTGGGAAGAAGTAATTTTTAATACAATTAATATGAGACTGAAATGGTACAATGTCTTTTTGCGAAAGAACCCTGATGGGAGGGTCCAGCCGACTGAAAAGTTACGCAACCCCAAAAGTTCAATTTCCTTTCAGTTCCGGCTAATTGAAGGTGCAGTGCAACAATTTTCGGAGTTCGACCAATTAATTATGGAAATTAATGTGTCATCTATGAAACGAAGAACTAAAAATGGTGTTTATTTATTTATTTATTTGGTACCTACATCGCCCGAAGGGCATTAGAGTGGGGGGGGGGGGGGGGGGGGTGTTTTCATTGTTAGCAGGGTTGTAGTTGGAGTGCCTGTTTCATAAATTGGAAAGGAGGTCGTCTGTGTCAGTTTTTGGTTGTTATGAAAGGAAGGGAGGTAGCTTGTGTCATTGGTTCAGTTTGAGATGTCGTTGATGGAGTGGAGAGGAGGTGTGTCGACCTTTGGAGAGGAGGGTTGTGGTGTATATATAAGAGCGGAGGTGTTCAAATAAACTAGAAGCTCTGTTTGAGACTTGTTGTTGTTTTGTCCATTTTTTTATTTTTCCGTGTCTCCGGTTTACGATGGAAGTACAATAACATGATTTCATCAAAAAAGGATTGAATGCTAGGAAGCTCTACTAGTGAGTAGGGCAGCATGTTCCAGTCACTAATTGTTTGGGGGAAAAATGAAGATTTCGGAACGTCAATATGTGTAAAAAGTCTCGAATCTTTTTTTTTTTTTTTTTATTGCTAGCTTGAAGAGAAACAGAAGGAGGTGCCAATAGGTATCTTGGTTTATCTACCCCGATGCTACTATAATATAGATTATGCATAAACTTGAGACGGAGCCAGTTTCGTATTCGTTGTAAAGGTTTCCATCCGACCTGGAGCTTTCATTGCGAGATACTATCGGGAAAATTATAGTTATTTAGCACATATTTCGCAGCCTGATTCTGAATTCTTTCGATTTCGTTTATACTTATTTGCGTATGCGGGTCCCAAATATTACAATTATTATGTCCTCCCAGAATTGGGAGGACATAATAAATGTAGAGGGTTTCTTTCGAGTGAGCTAAAGTTTTTCTGAAAATGCGATGCAAAAAATGCAGCATGCCGCTGGCCTTAGAGCTTAATTGCTTTGCACGATTATTTCATCTTAAATCGGCGGTTAGGCAAACCCCGAGATATATTGCCTCAGTACTAAGTTCCAAAAGATGATTGTTTAGTTTAAAAACTGCAGAGACAATTTCACGTTTTGTAGCCAATTGAGCATGGACACATTTGGATACATTAAGATACATTTTCCATTCATCACATCACTATGTCATCTAGTTTAAATCACTCTGTATTTAGAAATTAAGAAATGGAAGAGCAAACTGCCTCTTGCCTCTCAACTCCCACGTCTTCTTTTGAGTGACATACTCCGGGCCAGTGGTTCTCAACCATTGATGTTTTGCGAACCCCTGTGGATCGGCAATGATGATGGAGGACCCCATTCGTGGTGAGGGAAAGGAAAAGGTATATCTTAAGCGAGCATTACGAGCAATTCGAAACATATAATTTTTTAGGAATGCCACTCCATACTTAAGAGCGTACCAGATATTAAGCTTAAAGGGACACTGACACCCCCCAAAATTTTTTTATTATTTTTTGCCAGGCGCTTCGTTATGGTGTCGGAGGACTACCCAATTAATATTTTGCAACAGAGTAGCGTATTTTTTTAATAAAGCCAAAAGACGCAACTTCTCGAAACCGAAACCGATACCCGACGGAGATCGGAGAAGTGGAGAGAAGAGAGTGAGTGGCGGAAGTCACGTGGCTACACCCAACCGTGCAATTTTCTTTTTTTTTGTTCCGGTAGCAGACGACACGACATGCGGCGTGCGATGCGGTGTGCGATGCGGCGTGCGGGAGCTGCTCGCCGTGCGATTCTTTTGCAGTTATGTTTGTTCCGCTCGTTGTTCTGTACTCCAAGATGAGTTGTTTTGTACATTGAGGAGTTGGAGATGAGTAGTGAGTGCCCGTGGTGAATTTTCATGATCGGCTCCGAAAAGAATACACCCAAGATATTGCGTGAAGAGTTGGCTTACATTTCCTGCATCCGAAAAAAAGGGGGCATTGTGCGACAGAGTTTCCGAAAGATCAACAGGATCGGGACCAATGGCTGGCTGCAATTCCTGTAGAACATATACGGGCACCTCGGAAAGCGGACGCTACCTGATTTATATGCTCCTTGCATTTTGTGGAAAGTGATTACATTGAGTTCGCAGGTGTCAAAACGGAAATCCTATATCATTTAATTCAGCGAAGTATCATCCACAACATTTGTTTGTTATTTTTTTGTTTGTTTCTTCAGTGATGATTGTAAAAAAAAATAAAAAGATATGTAAACATCGAAAAATGTTTGAAAAAAAAAAAAAAAAAGTTTCACGAGGGATTGAACCCGGTCCTACCGCGTGTGAACCGGACGTCTTTCCCACTGAGCTACTGGCGTATCTCTTTTGTAGTGGATCTCTTTCCTTAGTAATAATTCAGCCGGTAAACTGTAAGTGGGAAAGTTTGCTGTCGATTTTTCTCTAGCAAAAGCACTCCCGGCTTGAAGTCGGGAAGCACCACGCTTTAGGGACATTCGCACCTAGCAAAGAAATCCTACGCGTGCATATTCAACTCGAAGTAGACACGTCGTGCTTGACGTTTGTGCGAGCGATGTCTTCAGCCATGAGAAGGGAGCGACGGCTCGGCGACGTCTTCGTACAAATCGGCTTGGTGGCCGGGCGTGTCGTACGGGATGAATACCAATTCTTTTGATCAGTCCCAAATTTCTCTTTTAACGGTAGACATAATTCGCCGGTACCGCGAACGACAGTTCTGAAATAGAGGTCCCACGCCCGTCGTCCGCTGCCATCGCCGTCCCCGCGAGTCCCACGATACGTTAAACGACAAACGCACAGAATGCTTCCGGTTGTCTGTAGAACTTTTTTTTTCAATCAACGTATTTACAGCTTTTTAGAAGCCACAAAAAATGGGTTTCATATTTTTTTCTATTTTTAATATTGAGTGTGTGCCTTCAGTGACCCACGACTTTGATTAAATTTGGTGGTCGCATCGATACCTTAGAAAACGGCCCGTGACCGCGAAAAAGAGAGTGAGCGAGACTCGAACCGGCCAGTTCTTGATCGGCGGTTTTCGGGCGGAAAGAAACCGAATTTCGAGCCGCAAATTCTGTTCTGGGTAGTTGAGCTCTCATATGTCACGTACAACTAAAAACCTCGGCGAGCATAAATACCCTGTCAGTGTCCCTTTAAGAGATCTACACAAATATAAACTGTCCCTGAAGATTTGGCAGAAATTTCATAATCACAAATTGTTGTTCCATGCGAAGTACCCCGTAAAAATTGGCCCGTACAATTTAAGACAAAATCTAATAATGAAATCTCGTTCACGGACAAATTATGGAGATCGGAAGCTAAGTTTTGAGATTCCAGATTTTTTGAAGCAACTCCCAATTATTTTAGACTTTCTAAATGGTGCCAGTCACCCTTTAATTATAAGAAAAGTGTGAAAGAGATTTTTTTTACAGATGAATAAAACAACGAAAATATGTCCTAAACTCGAATAATAAATGCATGCGATAGTACAAAAAAACAAAAATGTAATTTTTTAAAATCTGTTGAAGCAAAATGTAATAGTATAGATAACTAGCCCACGTCTGTCTGCACACCACTGGCTGTTTCTTACTTGTTTTCTTTTGTATTTGTTTTTACTGTATAGAAGTGAAAGCATGTCACTCTCATGTCTCTTGTTTTCCTACCGCTGTTGCCAAAAAGAGTGGCGTGGCCTTGTCAGGCACTTCAAGTGCCTTTAGCCATGTCCTCTGAGACTTTTTGTAAGGCTGTCTGAAATATTCTCGCACAGACGGACAAATAATGATTTTATAAATAGATGTAACAAGGGACTAGTGTGAAGTAGACTTCCCTCACTCACATACACACGAGAAAACTCGCCCTAAAAATTTTCAAGTGTTCCTTCTCAGTCTAAAAAAAAAGAAAAAAAAAAGACTTTTTTTTGTTGGGCTTGACTGATAAGGCAGGGCTTTGTGGATCCTTAGAACGCTTTCGCGGACCCTTTTGGGTCTACAGACCCCCATTTGAGAACCGCTGCTCTGGGGGATCACCTGGTTTCCCGTTCTCTTGAAATTCCCCAGCCACTTCCTCCATGATTGTAGACTTTTCAAGTAATCGCCGAGGGTCGTAAGGAGCCCAGCCACTTCCTCCATGATTGTAGACTTTTCAAGTAATCGCCGAGGGTCGTAAGGAGCGATTGACACACAAGACAGTTCGCCATGTGGATAACAGCGAGTGTAGCAGCAAAGAGGGACAGGTTCTGTTAACCTCCTTGTGGCCCTTAGATGTTTCACCCAAGTTTCCGTAATCGCTCTACACGGCTACAAATTGGCAAATAATTTGTTTTTTCCTTTGTGATTATGTACTGGAATGCCAGTTTTTGGGGGCAAGGTGGGGCGTTTTTTGTCACTTCTGCCTAGATAAAAGATAAAAAATAGAAACTGCATTTTCTTTTACCATTAAAATTGTCACACTACCCGTTTAAGGCGATTGAGCTGACGTTCACGCCGTCCCATTTGGCAGATGATGAAGCTGCAGGGCAGCCACGACGACCAGGAACTTCACTTCAGCCAGCGCCTGGAGGACGTCACCCAGCGCCTGGCTGCTCTCTCGGTGCCCGCTAGAGCCACGACACAGGCGACGGACGAGAAGACGGCGGACGGCCTCACCACGCTCGTGAGCCAGGCTGCGGGCGAAGGCCTTCATCTCACCATGGCCACTGCGCTCGTGGATCGTCTGCTCTGCTCGAGCGGAGTGCCCGGAACGCCCGAAGCGGAACACCTGCTCCGACACTCGCCCGAAGGAGGTATTACTGTTTTGCATATTTCCTAAAGCCCGGATAAAAGCGTGGCCGCGAGGCCCGACTCTGATGGCTTTTCAGAGGAGGGGAAGAGGCCATTGCATTGCATTTGCTCCAGGGTGAAATCTAGATTATTAAGTGAGCGTCGGTCATCGTGGTGAGTTGAGGTGCCCTTTGGCGGGAAAGTCCTGCGGGGCATCCACTCTGTGTCCGGTAGATAGCAACTTGACACCCACGTTTTAAAGACGGAGAATTCTTTGGCTATGTGCTGGGCATTTCTTAAAGGCCAGGTAAAAGTGTATGGTAAATAAAAGCGTTGCTGATTCTCATCGTTATCGGGTGGGAGGGGAGGTGCTCGGCACTGATTGGTTAACGGAGAGGTCATGTGACCAGCAAGCTCGACCACCTGCGAGGAAGAGGAGCTCGACTGGGGCTCTGGAAGATCACCACGTTTATCTGCCCAATTAGCGGTTCCATTTTAGGAACAACTATAAAGTGTACACATGCCACGTGTTAAATGATCTGATGAAGAATGCTGTGAACGTGGGCGGCAAGTATTGCTAAACATTTGTTATTCAAGAACGTTTCAAGTATCCAGTGCCTTGCAATTTTAGAGCGCAGCTCTTAGGCGCTTGTTTCCGGCTTGAGTGGTGTTGGTGTCACCGCTGAAGTAACTGCGTGGTGCATTATGGGAAACGTTCTGAGGAGGAAGGGGAGGGAGGTGGAGGAGAGGAGGAGCTTGAGGGATGAGGGGAGGAGGAGGGGAAGGAAGAGAAGAATGGTGGAGGAGGGAGGAGGGGAGGAGGAGTAGCAGGGAGGATGAGGAGCTGAGAAGGGAGGAGGGGTATACCCTCCCCTCAGTATACTTCCCTCGTCCTCCTCAAAAACTGTGCTGTAATTCGGCTTCTTTTTTTTTTTCAAATTAATTTTATTGCTTTTATGGCTTGGGACATGACGGAAGGGAGTGGGTGTTATAAAAACACAGTCGACTCTCATTAATTCAAACTCTCTTAATTCAAACTTGTGGATAATTCAAACTAACATGCAGGTCCCATCCTATGCGTCTCTATGGGAGGAAACTCCCGGTAATTCAAACTTTGTTTAATTCAAACTTTGTTTAATTCAAACTTTGTTTTATTCAAACAAATTTTCGGTCCCCCTCAAGTTTGAATTAACAAGATTTGACTGTATTTGTATCAATGAACGAACGGCGTGAGAAAATTATCATATTGAAGCTCATTACAACACTAAAGGACAATCACGGCCTTTCTTAACCCCTGTGCCAAGCTTTTTTCGGAGCGCAGAAAAACATTTTTTTTTATGCAAAAACATGGTTGCATGCTTCCATATGTACAGTGCGCCTCAAACTTAACGCCGCCACGGCATTTGCCGTTTTTGACAGTCCCTGTGGCAGCTGATTGAACTACCTGAAGGATGTTTGGGTTCCCAGTTTCTATCCCATCCTGAGAAGGCATTTCAAAAATTTTGGTGACAAATTTAACCATAAGTAGCCGACATGAGCTCAATGTTTGGGAACCCAGTGGCGACGTTAAGTTTGGGGAGCACTGTACATTTATTTACCCGATCATGTTGCTTTACATTTGAAGAGTCCTTTAACTTCTGAACTTCTTCAGTCTAGAAAGCTTACTTTGTGTGGTATTCCTTGAAACACTGTACCATGCAAATTGGCACCTCACATCACTTTCATCAGTATCCCAAGTGCACTCAGTTCCTCTCTCATCAGATTCTGTATTCATTAATACCTTTAGGATTTTAACGTCCGTCAAAGAGCGCAAAGTTGAATCATGTGGGTTCGCCATTCAAGAGCAGTGTTGGCTTGGAAACGCATACAGAGGAAGTTGGCTCCAGAAAACTCATCTGGCGTCAAAAGGCGAAACCACAACTAAAAAATTACACACATGTTCATTCAACCAAACGCTATGAAAGGCGGCAGCTTTACACGAACGTTGTTAATGAAAACAATTAGGAATGGAAATGGTACAGTGATGAAATGGTTGTAATGTGCTGTGTACTAGGGGTATGTAAATGTTCGCGATTTTTGAATGACGAATATTCTCCTGTTCGATTTGCTAATCGATTTGAATAATAATTTTCATAAGTTTCAAATAGTTTCCGAATAATTTCTGAATAGTGGTTACGGTGTCGTGCAGCAACATTCTATTGCAGGCGTCCCACAACGTGCCGGCGCGCCTGCCATACCGGCCCCAAGAGGGCAATACGTACCCTCCTCTCCTAGGCAATGATCATCGTCGGCAGTAGCAGTTTCTCTCTATTCGTACATTGCTGTTGCCTCCATTAGAGACTGCTTTCGTGTGAGACCGATTGTGCACGCTTTCATAAAGCGTGTCGTGGAGACATTTCAAAACTGGTTGCAGCTCTGTATGAGCAAAGTAGGAGTAGTTGAAGCGAGATAGAACTTCGAAGAGAAAGCACAGCGGAGTGTGGAAGTGATTCGACTGCTCCTGCGCTGCTTCCTCGACGTGCCTCATGTGTGGTGACATCCTGAAGACACCAACAAACATGACGACGCCTTTCTTTAAGATGACGGACACTAGTCTGTAGACTAACGAGAATGCGCGTGATACGGACACTAAGATGGTGAACATAAACAAACGGTCACGATGGCGATGGGGCTAGCGACCTTATACCGAGCATTGCATTTTTCTTTTTTGAGTTTCGGTTTTTGGTTTCGATTGTAACGCACATCTACTTTAGGGTGCCGATTTTAGCGAAAAAAAGTGCATTACAATTGTGTCAAACGCGGTTCTTAGTACTTGGCTCTACCTGCTATAATGCTTCCGTGCTGCTGGAGGTTACTTTTGTAAATAAGTAAATAAAGAAATACACTTTTGGCAGAGACACCTTGCTCACAACTGGTTGGTGGCGCAGGAAGCGGAATGGTGGGCACCCTGGCGGAGCGGAACTTTGCAGAGGAGTACGGCAGCGGGGGTCCCCACGTGGCCGCCATTGCCGACCTGGCCCTGACTGTGGGCGTTCCCCGGGACGTCTCGGAGCGCCTTCTGGCGCTGGCCGTGAGCAAGCGGGAGTCCTACGCCACCGGCAACCTGTGCGGACAAGTCCGGAAGCTGACCACGACGCTCGAAGCGCTCCGTCAGTTTGTGCAAGAGGCGATCGACGGCGGCGGAGTCGGTGCCGTCGGCTCCTGCGGTGGAGACGCGGAGGCTTCGCTCATGGCACTGTTGGGAAACTATGCGGACGTGTTGGATGCGGAGACGCTGCAACAACAACGAGCTGCCTGGCGCACGATCGAGGCAGTCTATCGCAAGGTATTGCTGACCTCTAAAGAGCAGTGTTTGTGGGCTTGGGAGAGGTTTTTAAAGTTTTTCTGCGAAACAAAGGGTTTGCTATGCTACGGTGAATGGGGTAAGACTGGTCAAACATGTTGGGCACCTTTTTATTCATTCATTTATATTGTACCCTTAAAAGGTAACTGCAAAGAAAAAAAAATTTTTTTAAACAGCCTAATTTGGACAAGCATGTCAAAAAACAAATTTTCCACGACGAAAAAAATTTTTTACAGCAATACAGTCGAACTCGTTTATAACGAACTCCATCGGACACGCATTTTAGTTTGATATATCAAGTAGTTAGTTATAGCAAATATCGCTATTTCATGAGGACAGCAAAAGCGAGAGAGATGAAAGGAAACCGCGCGGAATAGCAGCGAAGGCTGCCAAGCGTAGCGAGCCTCACGCCGGCGCTCAGAGCCGTGTTATCGCGAGGCAGCTTTCATGATGGAACATATGTATTCATATTTCTATCAATAAATTTCAATATTGAAACTAATCATCTAAGAAAGCCCAAAAATTTCTAGGTAACAGACAATAAATGAACACGATAATTCCGTAAAATTGAGAAGGAAAAAAAAGTCGTGGCACTTACGACAGAGAGAAGTCTTTATTACCTGTTCTTTTGATATTACCGACAGAAGCTGGTAATTTTTGCCTGCGTCTTCGCTTTTACTGCGTCCTTCAAAATTTCGTCCTCGACGCGAGATAGCTGGTTTACCAGGCTTAGTCCACTTCCCTGAATCTGGGAACAGTAGCGACGGAGCACTTCCGTTGCTGCAAGCGCCTCGTGAAGCGTCTGGCAAGGTGCCTCTGGGTCCTCTGCCTCCTCGTCGTCGTCGTCGTTTGCTGAAGCCGCCACGACCTCGGCGACAATTTCGTTGTCTGAAGGACTGCTGGTCACTGCGACATCATCATCCACTCCGAGAAAATCTTCCAGCTCCACGCCATCCGGGACGGCGTCGGGAAGACGGCCGAGGTCTCTCCACATCTCGTTTAAGTCGTCATCCGTAACCTCGATTGCCTCTTCGGTACTTGCTCTGTCGTTATCCATGTACAGTCCCGCGTGGCGAAAACAATTCTTAATTGTGTTAGGCGCGATGTCGCTCCAAGCTCGGCTAAGCATTTCAATAGCACCCAACAAATCAATCTTCAGTTCTTTTCCCACACGCAGCTTGGTGAGCAGCTGCTCCACTACACGCTTCCTGTAACCTTGCTTGAAGGCACGGATGATGCCTTGATCTAGCGGCTGCAGCACCGATGCCGCATTAGGGGGCAGGAAACGAAGCTGAATGTTTTTTAGCGTGGCACCACAGCGATGCGCGGAGCAATTGTCGAGCGAGAGGCAAATCTTGCGGACACTCTCGGACAACTTCTCATTCCAGTCGCGCAGCCAGTCCTCGAACAACACCCTTGTCATCCAGGCCTTTCCATTTGAAGTGTATTTTACTGGAAGAGACCGACACCCCCGTAGGCACATAGGGGCCTTGCTCTTGCCGATGATCAGTGGCGTAAGCTTGGAGCTCCCGTCCATATTCGTGGTGAGGAGCACCGTAATTCTAGCTTTGTTCAGCTTGCCACCATGGCACTTCTCGCCTTGTCGTGCCAAGGTCCGACTGGGTAGGAGCTGCCAAAACAGTGCGGTTTCGTCGGTATTATAAATATCGCAGGGCCTGTACTGCTCCGTAATTGCTGGCCAGTTTTCGGCGATCCACTTCTTGACGCTTTCATTGTCGACTGCTCGACTCTCGCGAGCAGTCGAGCAGTCATACTCAGCGTGCTTCTGGCGATCTTGTTGAAGGATGCGGCGACTTCTGACTTCTTCTCGCCGCGTTCAACGCGCCGGATTATTTCCACCTTGGTAGAGAATGGTAACGATGAACGCACCTTGGTCGCCATCTCTTGCGGGAACAGGAAGGACACAAAGAACAACGAGCCTCCTCGGCAAAACGCTAGGAACAAGAGAGCCATGTCCGGCCTGGTACGGCTGCAGGATGATGTCATCAGAACGTCATTGCACGCTTGCTCTATCATTGGCCAGTGCGCTTCCGCGGGGGCCGGTTGCGGGCGTTCGCAGTCGGTGTTGTGACTCATCTTCTCAAGGGTCATCGTGTTTTTCTTGGTTTTCTCTTGTCCTCTGTCGCTCCGTGCAAGGCAGGGAAGCCAGCGCGCTTCCGCGGGGGTCGGTTGCGGGCGTTCGCAGTCGGTTTTGTGACTCATCTTCTCAAGGGCCATCGTGTTTTTCTTGGTTTTCTCTTGTCCTCTGTCACTCTGTGCATTGCAGGGAAGCCCGCGCGTCTCCATGGGGGTGGTAGCGGGCGCTCGCAGTTCAATATATCCGATGTGTGGTTCGTTATAGAAAGTATATTTCTCATGAATATTGATCTTAAAATTTCGTGTGTTCGATATAGACCATAATTCATTCTAACCGGGTTCGTTATAAACGGGTTCGACTGTATTTATGCGTGAGAATGATTTTAGTTTGTGGCTATTTCGTCCGTTATAAATCACGCGCCACAAAGTTGGTGTTCCTTGACGTGTAGCACCTATTGGCTGCTATACTTCTGATTGGCTAAAAGATTCATTGACAGCTTAGATCTTGGTTGTTGTAATTTCCTTTTGAGCGGCATATTTTTACGTTTAAAGAATAACCCATGTGATGAGAGTTATTATTCTTTACAAAAGGTTTACAAGACGGGCACTTCCATTTGGATTCATACCATAACAAACAAACGCTTCGCCATTCTTTCATGGCCGCCAAAGTCTCTGCTCCTGCCTGTCTCGCCTACCTCGACTAGTCGTTACGTTGAAGTGATCAGTGTTTCGTGCTGACCCAGGTGCTTGAGTGAGACTTCTTGAAGTGAAGTAGTGTTTGTTTAGCAGCTGTCGCAGGTGTTAGTGATAGGAAGCGCCGCGGGGTTTTGGCTTTCATAGCGCGGTTCTTTCGTTTTCCTCTTTGCTTGTTTAGCGTGCTTCTTTTTTTTTTTTGCGCTTGCGCGTGAAAATGCTCATTTTTCAGAGATGTCAGATGAGTCATCCCGACAGCGAGCCTTCCAGCAGCCATGTCTCTCCGAAAGGAATGCTATTTGGCTGGAGGCAATCGGGTGTTCGCGTAGCGACAAACGTGTTCAGTTAAGTTCTCGTCATATTGCTCTGGAGGCCGTGGATATCCGCACTGGGTGCACCAAACGTCCGTGACTAGACACAGCTGTTATGTAAAAAACCTGGCACAGCCAGGTTATTACGTAATAGCTGTCCGCAGAAGCCTTCGGACGTCGGAATTCTGCGTTAGCCAACAGCCAACAGATTTTTTTTTCTCGACTTCTGAACCATCTCACGTAAAGTCGCTTGAATGAATTTGTACTGTTATCGTAAATCTTGGCTTGTAATTGCGGCTTTGTAGATTATCTTATTCGTTTTGCTGGAGAGACGCAAACGACGGGCATAACAACATCGTTTGCATATTCCACATACCTTGCAAAAGTCACCAAGCACTTCCCCAGTCACCTTGCAAAAAGCGCGAAACACGGAGCACCGTCCCGACTTCCCAGTCTTTTACCTGCTGGCTGCTAGTAGGTATATCTACTTAAACTGCAACTTGAAACTAGGGGCAGTGCCAAAGAGCAAAGAGACAAAGTTCGGAAAGCTTGCTCGCCCTCCCCAATTTCTGAACTCTCAAGTAATGGTACCATAATAAATGCACAACGCCTCTCTCCCCCCCCCCCCCCCCCCCCCCAAAAAAAAAAAAAAAGCACTATGTTCACTAAGTAAAAAATGGTCTCAGTTCATGCATCTGTGTGCAGGTAAGAAATCTTGCCCAAATTTATTCACGCCACACGCATTCACACCGTCGCTGTGCAAACGCAGTCCAACAACACGAAGCATAAAAACGGCAGATTTAGGACAACAATTCGGAGTTCATTGTTCAATTAAAACAACGTAATTTTGTTGAAAACGCCCGCAGCTTTTTACTCACGGTATGCGTCGGAAATCTTCTATGTTTTGAAACGGAACGAAGGAAGATTTACTTTGAAAAATGCTCGCTGCGTCCTCCCGGACCACTTTGACTGGATCAGCTGACAATAACGGGACTGAACCCGTTGAACCTCAACCCCAGAACAACCAATTTGCGCTCCGTGTTAGTGTGGGTGTCTACTTCCAAGCACCACACCACACACACCACGAACGTTTCAGTTGTTTGTCGCATCGCCGTTTTGCACCAAACAGAACGAGATCGCTGAAGTCAATGCAGCGCTGTCGTGAACCTGCTTGTGGTTGCGCACTCGTGGACCCCATGACTCCCTTCGCTTTCAAAGCACACACGACGATTACGAATGATACTTTCCGTCTTGCGGGAACATCTCAGGGACGCTTCTCCGGTCACGTCTTCGCTATGTGCTCCGCGCAGCTTCTCGTGTCCCTCAAACCAAAACAATACCGGCGCTATGTTTAACGTGCATTGTTGCCAGATCTTACCGGAAGTCGAGACACTGTGTCGTTCAACTCTGCAGCCAAGTCAACCCAAGAGCAAATCCAAGGATGAGGGGCGGGGTGTACTGCTCCTCCGCGAGGGTCGAAAGAGCGGGAGTTTCAAGTGTGGAGAGGTTCTGACTACGACTAAATGGACTAAATTACGTCCTGTAGCATAATTATTGCTAAAAAAATTCTTTTTTTTCGTGGAACATTGGTCTTGTGACATGCTTGTCCCAATTAGGTTGTTTAAAAAAACTTTTTTTTCTTTGCAGTTACTCTTTAAAGGGGCACTGACACATCAAAATCATATTTTTTTTTATTATCCGAAACGATCGGAAACAATGCCGAGACATTACCCTCAAAATTCGAAACATAGAAAGGAAATTCAGTATTTGTGAAGTGAAAAAACAATTTCCAAATGCCGAATTCGAGGTTCCCGCACGATCCGCGCTGGTGCGTTGACGTCAAATATTGCGGAGTCCTGAGAGTCAACTTTTTTTCATAAC